CCCATTGTCTTTCTCATCTATCCTACCTCCCTGCCGTAGCCCATTCTATTACAATGTGGTATCTCCTTCCAAACATATTGCTCTCACATACATATGCTACCATTACATACATATACATATATACATAGTCATACATATGTATATATAATTAGGCAATATTTTTGTTTAGATTTGTACTGAAATGGAATCATACTACATATATTACAAGCAAATTATGTTTTTCACCTCATATTTATGTTAAGTAAGTACTCATATACATTACTGTTTCTATTATAATTTTCTGCATATATATATATATATTCCAATAGATACAATTTTATCTAAACAAGATATATAATAAACACATTTTTTTTGGTATTTCATACATGCTATTTTTAAAGGTTTTTTTTTTAATGGGTGGGAAGGCTTGTTTCTCCCACCCCTTTCCATCTGCCATGCATATCACCTTTTCTATTCCCTCTCCCTGAAAGGCAAATCATGTTAACAGCTGATTATGCTCTTATAATTATATATATTTATATAAATACCATTGCTACACATACTTTGTATTTATTAGTGCATAAAGAAGTGTGTTTAACTTTCTGTTGCATCATCATTACTAGCTTATGTGATTCACAGCATTTCAGAAAGAAAAATGAAGTAAAAAAACAGTTATGATGTAAAAGTATATAGATAAATATTCTGTCTACTAATAGTTTCTAGTAGTGTTACTCAAGGGCATGGAAGTACTAAGCTATAACTTAGAACTGTGATCAAAATATAATATGTAAGCTCATTTTTCTCCAAGCAGCAACTCAGAAATGTATTTTAGTCTGTGCATTGTACACTGCTGCCAAAATCTTGTTAACTGCAATTGAATTGTAATAATCCATATGTCAACACACAATCAAAAGCACAACCTTGTAATGCAATAAATACAGTGCATGCATAGAATTACATTAATTATAAGTAACTCAGAATTGTTGACAACAAATTAATATGACAACTAACTAAATTTAAAACTTAATATTTCACAATTGAGCTAAGCTAACATAAGAGAAGCTAATAACTCTAAAATACCAAGCTGAAATTGGAATAAATTTTATTATCAAAGACACAAGCTTTAGCTTATCATCAGACTATTTTCTCCTCAGCCCAGCCTGTACCCTCTCCAATCTTGGACCCCCCAGGGGATGTCCAACTGCTGATTTAGGCCGACCCAGAATCGACCTAAACTGGCAATCAGACATTCCTCTCACAATCCTCGACTGCTGGCTCCTAACCACTTGCCTGCCTGCGTGATCACCCCTAACCACCTCTGCCTTGGCCCCCGTGGAGACTTCATCCAGAAGGACGTAGGAATGATGTCTGGAAGGTCATATTATGCTTTTATTATCATAGATATATGGGGTTTTTTAAAATTAATTTCAGAGAGAAAGAGAGAGGGAGAGATAGAAACATCAATGATGGGAGAAATTATTGATCCGTTTCCTCCTGCATAGCCCTCCCTGGGAGTTGAGCCCATAGCCCAACCCAGAATTGAATTATGACCTCCCAGTTCATAGGTTGCCGCTCAACCACTGAGCCACGCCGGCCTGGCCCAAGCCTAGTCATCTTTACATTGCTATGTCTGGTTGCAAGGCAGACTGGGAAGTCTAGTGCAGCTTTACTCTGCAGGCTGTGTACCTAGCTTAAAAATCAGAGATCCTGCTATAGTTATATAAAAAGGGGGGAAGATAGGTAACATAGTACCTGATTCAGGAAGTTTCAAATTACCATGCACAAAAGTTGAAAAGGATTGTTAAAATAAAGTAAAAGTATTTTGTAGAAGGAGTGGGTGTGCTGAAGGATGTTGATGTGAAGGACATTCCCTAAGGAAAGATTGTGTCTTTAAGGTGGAGATCCGGAAGAGGCTGGGTGGCTTCCACATATCTGCTGGAGCAATCTACACTGAGGTGCCAGGGCAGAAAGGACACTTTATAATATTTTATTGATATTTTACAGGGAGAAAGAGAGAAGTATAAAGAGTTAGAAACATCCATGTGAGAGAAACATTGATCAGTTGCCTCTTGCACACCTCCTACTGGGGATGTGCCCGCAACCAAGGTACATGCCCTTGACCTGAATCGAATCTGGGACCTTTCAGTCCGCAGGCTGACGCTCTACCCACTGAGCCAAACCGGTTTCGGCTGAAAGGACACTTTAAAATAATGAGAAGAAAGAAAGCAAATCCATCTAAAGAAAGTCCATGATTCTTTCTCCAGGAGTGAAACTGTGGTGTCTAATTGAGAAACAGAGCTATGGGCCTCAAGGACAGGAGTCTTGAAACCAGGAAGACCTGGCTTTGCTGATAGCACATTTCAGTTACATGCAGTTAAACATTCTTTGAGGGGATTTGGAGGAATAATAAGAGGGAGGGAAAAATGGAACCATTTCATTTTTGTTTCTGTGACTTTTATTTACACAGGAGAAATCATGAGCAGATGCCTATGGACTTGAGCGTACACTTCTCAAAAACTATAAAAATTAGAAAGTGAAACTTAAATAAAGCCACAAATGTCACTTTTAAATTTCTATTGAGAATAGAACAGGATATTAGTTAAGTTGTCTCCTAAACTATTACAACATAAATCATTACACAACTGTTGTTTTTTAGCTTTGCTCAATGCCCACTCCTTGCCTGATAGTATACTTTAGAGTAAATAGTATGCCACTCATTTTGTTTGTCCATTCATTTTGAAATGGAAAATTTGGGTGCCTTTAATTTTTGACCACTGGGTAACAGTTTTTTTTTAAAAAATGTATTTATAAGTGACTGGACTCTGAGCTAAGCCTTACCAATATCATGGTTTAACAGCTTAAACTGATGAATTGAGATAATATACTGGCAATCTTTGAAATGAAAGTCTCACTTTCTAAAAACACTGAAATGTATGTATCACACCTGTCAGCCTCCTTCACTATTCTGGGGAAAAGTATTATTTCAAGTTTTTACACTGGCTTCATATCTTAGCAGAGGACTCTAGAATACTTGAATATTGATATACTAGCGGTAACTAAAGCAGTCACAAAAATAAAAGCCATTGGTCTCTGGCCTTTCATAGATGTTCCTACTAAGTTAATGTGATGAAAAACAGCAAATTAATCTATCAGTGTTAAGCGTTTGATAAATATTTTATTTGTTTATTTATTTATTGCGTATAGCTACATAAGAGGAACTGAGCTAATTTTGAAACCCTCAGTTTCCTTTTCTCTAAAGCAATAGCTGTTGCTGGCCACTAGAGTGTTCTTTTGTTTGCAAAATTGAGAGAGAGAAAAACAAAAACAAGTTGGCATTATTTTTAGCTCTCCTCTGATTTGAATATAGTGCCAGTCCTCACTTTTTCTCATGGCAACTGTCATAATGAATCAAAGAAAGAAAATGAGACAAAGGGGAGGAACGGAATTGTGTCAAAGGACAATGGCAGGGTTGTTGGCAGGAAGCTGAGCTGAAGGAATCCAGATAGCTTGAGAGCTTCTTGGCTCTGCTCTGCTCCAATGAAGGAGGGGCCCCTACCATAGCGCTGCCTAAATCAGGTCTCTCCGAGGCCAGGTATCAGAGCCCTTGGAAAAAGAGTGTAAGCTTTCAGCTTCAAATCTTCCTCCAAATTATTAATACGGTGGTGACTCTGGTACCCAACCCTTTAAAGGCATGGGGTACATCATTATAAATATAGGGTGTCCCCAAAAATGTACACAAACCACTTTGAATAGAGGTCGTGTTTGTTAAAATACATTTCAATTTCAAAATTGAGCTATTGACTGTTAAAGTGTGCATACATTTTTTGGGGACACTCTGTATATATCAATACAAAGGAGAGCTATTCATGGATTAATGATGAGCGAGAGTCATGAACCAAAGAATATAGAAAATGAACTTAGGGCCGAAACCTTTTTGGCTCAGTGGATAGAGCGTCAGCCTGTGGACTGAAAGGTCCCAGGTTTGATTCAGGTCAAGGGCATGTACCTTGGTTGCGGGCACATACCCAGTAGGGGGTGTGCAAGAGGCAGCTGATGGATGATTCTCTCTCATCGATGTTTCTCTCTATCCCTCTCTCTTCCTCTCTGAAAAAAATCAATATAATATATTTTTTTAAAAATGAAAAAAAGAAAAGGAACTTAGGTTACCTAAGATTCCAACAAATAGTGACAAAGAACAATAAATGAAAGTAATGTGTGTACATTGCAAACATTTGGATACACATAATATATGTAATTATTAAAAAAGAAAACGGTTTCACTGGTTATTTTGTTAGGTATACATATAATTAACACTGTATTGTTCTAACCTAACCTTCTATTTTTTCCTTAATAATCAAAAACATTTTTTTATTTTTTATTTTTTTAATATGTTTTATTGATTTTGTAGAGATAGGAAGGGAGAGAGATAGAGAGTTAGAAACATCAATGAGAGAGAGTCATCCATCAGCTGCCTCTTGCACACCCCCTACTGGGGATATGCCCGCAACCAAGGTACGTGCCCTTGACCGGAATCGAACCTGGGACCGTTCAATCCCCAAGCCGATGCTCTATCCATTGAGCCAAACCGGTTTCGGCGAAAAACATTTTTTAATTATACTAAAAAATTCATTTAATGTCACGTTGATAAAGTGTATGCCCTGTGGAAGCTGTTCAGGTCAGGTTCCACAACCAGCCTGGCCTCAGATCTCTCTCAGCCTTCAGCCATTAAAACGGCCCTCGGACCCGCGCACACAGTGACAGCGTCAGAGACGGGCTCCTCCGTGAACCCCGCCCGCCGCCCTCAGCTTCCGGGAACACTCTGGGGGCGTGGCTAAGACGCTGGGCGGTCCGCAGCGGGAGCCCAGGTAAAAGGGGCGGGGCTCGGAGGAGCCCGGCGTCGCGGCGTGATGACGTAAGCACCGCGCCTGGCGTGTTGTGCCCGGCGAGAGCGGCCGCTGTTCCGCGGGCCGGTCCCAGCTCTTGAGCTGAGGGAGCCGGTTGCGCGCTGTCGGCCGGCCGAGATGTCACAGGCTTTCGGCGCTGTGGACGAGGACGAGGAGCTGGCGGCGGAGGAGGACTGTCCTGAATTGGTCCCCATTGAGGCGAAGCAGAGAGAGCAGGAGGAAAAGCCTGGCCCCGGCGCTAAGATCCCAGTCACAATTATCACCGGGTATTTAGGTAACTAACCATCCCGGTCACAGGACCCTGGCATCCGGGGATTTGGCGGGGCTCACAGATTTTAGGCATTCCGGTAGATGCCTCTGGAGGCACGGGCTGGGCCCCTGGCTCCCCGATTCACAGGTATCATGTGAGATTCAAAATTAACCTCGCATTTTGAATAACTATTATAGTTCTGGTGTTGCAGTCTGAAGCCCGGACCCGCCCCCAAACTGTGCCCTTGGCCTTGAACACATTACCTTTCCGAAGCTTATCTACCTCATTTGAAAATGCAAACAATACTGGTCACCTGTCTTGAGTTCCTCACCTGCAAAATGGGGCCGGAAATGCCCACCTTGTAAGCCTATGGCCATGCAAGGATGTCCTGTCAGTAAAATGCTCCACACCAGGGCAGGCCTCAGTGAATCCCCCTGCCCCTCCCCTCAAGCCATTCTCCCCAGCCACTCCTGGAAACACCACCTCCCTCAAACTTTTTTTTCCCTTTTGTTTGAGATCTGTTTTTAAAACACTTGGCCTTTCACATTTCATAGGTGTACACTCTGTCCTCCGAGATTTTATTTTTGTTTTATAACCGTCTATTTTTATTTTCAATTACAGTTGACACACAATATTGTTTCAGGTGTACACCCCAGTGATTAGGCATTATATAACTTACTAAGTGACCATCCCGATAAATCTTATACCCATCTGACACCATACAGTTATCAGATAATGACGGACTGTATTCCCTATGCGGTACTTTACATCCCCATAACTATTCTGTAACTACCGATTTTTACTTCTAAATCCCTCCACCCTTTTCATCCATCTTCCCGACACCCATCTATATCTAGGAGCCTGTTTTTGATCTGTTTGCTCGTTAATTTTGTGGGGGTTTTTTTAGATTCAATTGTTGATAGGTTTGTATTTATTGCCATTTTATTGTTCATATTGTTTGTTTTTTCCTTCTTAAAAAAGACCCTTTAACATTTCATGTTACATTGGGTTTGTCAGTGATGTACTTCTTTAGCTTTTTTTAAAAAAAAATATATTTTAATTGATTTTTTTTTTTTTTTTTTTTTTTTTTTTTACAGAGAGAAAGAGAGAGGTCTAGAGAGTTAGAAACATCAATGAGAGAGAAACATCCATCAGCTGCCTCCTGCACACCCTCCACTGAGGATGTGCCCGCAGCCAAGGTACATGCCCTCAACCGGAATCTAACCTGGGACCCCTCACTCCGCAGGCCAACACACTATCCACTGAGCCAAACCGGTTTCAGCTTCTTTAGCTTTTTCTTGACTGGGAAGCTCATTGTATGTCCTTTGATTCTAAACGATATTTTGCTCGGTAGAGTAATCTTTGTTAGAGGTTCTTGCTTTTCATCACTTTAAATTCTTCTTGTTGATCCCTTGTGGCCTGCAAAGTTTCTGATGAGGAATCAGCAGTCAAATGGGGGCTCCTTTATAGGTAACTGCTTCTTTTTAAAAAAATATATTTTATTGATATTTTACAGAGAGGAGGAAGGGAGAGAGATAGAGAGCTAGAAACGTCGATGAGAGAGAAACATCAGCTAGCTGTCTCTTGCACACCCCCTACCGGGGATGTGCCCGCAACCAATGTACATGCCCTTGACCGGAATCGAACCTGGGACCTTTCAGTCCGCAGACCTACGCTCTACCACTTAGCCAAACCGGTTTGGGCCATGTTTCTTGCTGCTTTTAAGATTCTCTCTTTGTCTTTAACCTTTTGCATTTTAATTGTGATGTGTCTTGATGTGGGTTCATCTTGTTTGGGACTCTGTGCTTCCTGAACTTGTGTGTCTGTTTCCTTCACCAGGTTAGGGAAGTTTTAAGACTTGCATTCGGCTCAGTTTCAGGAGGTTCTGAATGATAGTTGTTTTGGAGTGTAGTTGTAACTTTGTGCTTGTGGGAGGATGTGAGAATCACATCTACCTACACTGTTATCTTGACCGGAAGCAGACTGTATTTCTTTAAACGGAGGTCGTTCAAGAATGCACTGGGACACTTGAATTCATAGGTTTGTAAACATGCTAGTTTCCTAAAGGACAGTTTATGCACTTACACTAGAGGTACTTAATTGGAAAAGTTTGAGAAGTATCTGTGTATTTTAGCCTTAATGGTCTTTATTAATGTCATTCTGATTGTATCACACTCTTTTGTGGTTTCCATTTGGGTTAAAGTTCAAATTCCTTAATGTGAATTGTCTGGCTCTTGTCAAACTCTCCAGCCTGCAAAACTGTGACCCAACATTGACCTACTTCTAAATGGTACCAAGAACTTTAGCCCTTGTATATTCTTCTTCTTTTATTTTTAACATATTTTTATTGATTTCAGAGGGAAAGGGAGAGGGAGAGAGAGATATAAACAGCAATAATAAGAGAGAATCGTTGCTTGGCTGCCTCCTGCATGCTCGGACATGTGCCCTGACCAGGAATCAACCTGTGACCTCCAGGTTCATAGGTCAATGCTCAAACACTGAGCCACACCAGCCAGGCCCTTGTATAGTCTTCTTACTTTTATTCTTCTGGCTAGATGTCCTCTTAGGTGCTCCATAACATCTTATACATCTATTAAATGTTTCATCCTGTAACATAATTGCCTCTTTATTGATCTGAATTTCTGTTTTGTGCTCTTTTCACCAAGGTACAGCATGAAATCTGGTCCATAATAGCTTTTGAATGAACTACATGTTAAAGTCTTTTGCTTCATAATATAGTTAATTGTTAAGCCTTAATAATTTTATAAGATCTCGTACAACCTCCTGTCCATTTTCACTGCCACTCCCTAATATAGCACTCATGTCCATGGCCTTTGTCTTACTCTTTGAGAATTTCTTTATGGCACTGCCTCCTCAAGGTATGTCCTTTCCATTCTGTACTTCACACTTCAGTGACGTTGAGCTTCCTACATAGAGTACTCTAAACACAAGCCTTCCATCCTTCAGTTTTTAAAGGAATATGACCTAGAAGATATTAATACCCTAATACTCAGTAACTTCCTAGAAATCTTGTAAATCCACTTCAGAAGATAAGTTCAAGTGCTTGTAATAACAAAACACTGGAAACAACTGAATGTCCACCAACAGAAAAATAAATAAATAAATGATTTATTTATACAATTGAAATAAAGTACTGGGCAGTTGGGATTTTTTCCCCTCTCTATGAACTTTGCTGTCTATGGCTCACAAGACAAATGTTTTTCTTCTATTTCAGCTGAACATAATAGGTTTAATATGCCACCTACTGGATAAAGTTAGTGTAGCTTTATGAGTTTGTCTTTCTAAAGACTGAATATTGCCTTGTTATTTCCTACATCCATTATTTTGTGTGATATATATACATATATATATAATTTATATAATATAATTTATATATATAATTATATATATATAATTATTTATATATATAAATAATTTTATATGTTGCTTTAAGCTTACTAAAAGTAGACATATAGTCAGTTTCAATTTGTATCTGGTTAATGATGGATGTTGAAATAAAAGATCTTTATAATTAAGTTTTATATTCTTGGCTAAGAAACATTATCATCATGCAAAAAGATTTAAATATTGTATAAACTACATCAGTACTTTATTATTTGGAAGCTATTCAATTTTTTTTATTTAATAGAAAATTTTAAAGCCTTTGTATTGATTGTATTATAAATTATGTAGAAGGCATATTATTTTTGTCATAATGAGATTAAAGAAAGCTGTGTGACCTAACTTATAGGAGTGTTTGTAAGTATTTATAAATTGTTATGTCAACAAAACACTTTTAATACTTTTCAAAGGACACTTTAATCTTCCTCTGGAATAAACTTAATTAAATAATATTTTTAAAACCATTGTGACTCTTAAATTTTTGTATCTTTAAATTTTGTTATTTTATAAGATCTACAAAACTTATTTTTATAGGTGCTGGGAAGACAACACTTCTGAACTATATTTTGACAGAGCAACACAGTAAAAGAATTGCAGTTATTTTAAATGAATTTGGGGAAGGTAAGTCAAGTTGAATAAATGCTGTGCTTCAAGAATTTATAAGATAGTTCATCCCATTTGTGACTTGATATTTCATGTTTAAAAATGAAATGCAGCTCATAATAATGTGAATATATTGATGTGGATAGTTTTGGAAGAATGAGATTAATTTCTTTTTTTAAAAATATATTTTATTGATTTTTTACAGAGAGGAAGGGAGAAATATAGAGAGCTAGAAATATCAATGAGAGAGAAACATTAACCAGCAACCTCCTGCATACCCCCCCTCCCCCCCGGGGATTTGCCCATAACCAATGTACATGCCCTTGACCGGAATCAAACCTGGGACCTTTCAGTCCACAGACCAGTGCGCTATCCACTGAGCCAAATCAGTTTTGGCGAGATTAATTTCTGTCAAGTTTTACTTTGGACAGATTTTGAATACTGAAATTAGATCGTTTCTATAAAATTTTGTGTATAACTTTCAAATTCATATCAATGGAATTAAATTTTTACATGAAATAAATTACTCCAGAAGTAAAAATCTATGATATTTGATATGAAAGAAAGTTCTTTCAGGAACTAGAAAGATACTTTTGTAATGATTATACTGTTTAGTATCAGCTTTTGAAAAATTTAAAAATTCTTCATTTATTGTAAGGTTTCCTAGTTGAATGTTTATCTGCAAAGCAATTAAAACTGAAGATTTTAAAAATATGTTGAACATGGTCTCTATCTTCAAAAAACTTCAGTTACCAGTGAATATACATGCATTAAACATTCAATTTTTTGTTTTTAATGTTGAACTGTAGTTTAAAAAAATCCATACAGAAATATAAAACTCAGTTCTTTATTACTTTTATATGTTTTTCTTCTTAAGTGTGAATTTTAATAAAGGCTCACTTTTAGCCCAAAAATGTAACTTTTGTGGGATAATTCATAAGGTATACTATTTTTTTCTGTTGTAAATTAATAAAAGAGCTAGTTTTTATGAACTGGATGGGAAGCCTGTTGGTTAATTGTCGTTTGTGGTTCCAGTAAACTAAGAGAAAAGTCCTGTTAGACAAAATTAAAATCCCAAGATTTTTAAATCACAATCTTATATTCTGGCTTCTAATTAACTGATCTTTTGGATATTGATAACATTATTTCTTACTACTTTTTTTCATTCTTCCTGGGTCATTTTCACAATTTGTCCTTTACAGCATTCATCATACTTTCCTTCACATTTTATTGATGTTCTCTACACCCTGAATTCTGTGGCAACACCTTTCAAAGCTCTTTGTCAGCTCCTAACTGAAATATAAACAAAAAGTATAAGAATTAAAAAAAAATTTTTTGGCTGTTTGCGTTACTGGACAATTAGAACTCTTCTGGCTTTGGTATATTTTTTTATTGGGGAAAAAAAATAAGATTTTTAAAAAGTATTCTTATATAATTCTTATGTGTATAAGAATCTCAAATATATTTTTTTCTCAAGTAAGCATTGCTAGGAAACTAAATTTAATATTTAAGTGAGCACATTGATTCCCTGGCTAAGCAAACTTTCTCAAATGAACCAGGGTTTTTACTCACATTTGGATTATAGAGTAGACTGTCTAATAGAAACAAAAACATTTAGAGGAAGAATGAAAAGAAAAATATAGATAAGGACCCTAAGAGGTTGAAGGGCATATGAAAACTAATATTTAAAACACACTATCTAGGAAGTTGACCACAAACAAGAAAGAGCACATTGGTATGATTCATTAATTTTAGACTTGTCTCCTTAGGGACTTCATTCCTTTGTAAGAAATGAAAGCTAAAATAAGCTGGAGTTAGTATATATTAAGATAAGGAAGCTGCATGAATAAAATAGAATAAAAGTTATAAAATGCATTTTTTGCTTTGAATTCTCCATTATTGAGCATTAACTATATATATATGTATATATATATATATATATATATATATATATATATATATATACACACACACACACACACATAATAGTGGCCTGGTGCACGAATTCATGTACATTTAAAGGAGATTAATTAGAAGAAATATTTTAATATCACTATTCATCCTTTCTCTATAATAGAAGTGTCAGAGATGAAAATATATAAAATGTGTATGAAAATAATATATAAATTGATTAATAAATAACAACTTGATGTAACAACAACAAAGACATGATATAAAAACAACAAAAATGATATAAAAACAAACACATGATACAAAAACATAACATAAAAACAATATTGATAAAAACAATGACTAATAAATTGATTAAACTTATTCTAATTTATCCCTGTATATCACATTAAGAGTAAAAACACTTTCAGAGTACCTAATTTCCCTTGTGATTAAGTATTTGCAACTCATCACAAGCTCTTTGAACTCAAACGAAAGCAACATATAACTGACCATGTCCCAAAATGGATTCAAATAGGAATATTCCTACTCTGTCTAGATTGGCACCAGCAAAAGCTTTATATGTATTGCACATGTGTGAGTCAACTTTTATTTTTAAACTAGAGGCCCAGTGCACGAAAATTTGTGCACTCAGTCCCTCAGCCCAGCCTGTGTCCTCTTGCAGTCCGGGAACTCTCAGAGAATGATTAATGGCTTAGCCAGACATCCTTAGTGCTGCCGTGGAGTCAGGGGAGGCTTCCGCTGCTGCACTCGCCAGCCTTGAGCCCAGTGGGATTACACTGTCCACCAGTGGGTGGTTCCTGTGTTGAGTGTCTTCCCCCCTGGTGGTCAGTGCACATCATAGCAACCAGTCATTCTGCCATTCAGTTAATTTGTGTATTAGCTTTTTATTATGTAGGATTGCTAGTGTGCATCATATGAATCTGCCAGTTGGTTGGATGGCCAGACAGTTGGTCACTTAGCCTTTTATGTATATAATTTTTTTTTCTTTTTTGGTTTGCTAGTGAACATAATCTGGAGTACTTCTTATTATTTCAGGAAGTGCAGTGGAGAAATCCTTAGCTGTGAGCCAAGGTGGAGAGCTCTACGAAGAATGGCTGGAACTTAGAAACGGTTGCCTGTGCTGTTCAGTAAAGTGAGAAATGTGTTTAGTGTTCTTGTTGGTTTATTGTAAATGTTAACTTATTATATTTCCAGCTTTGATTTTCTTATGTAATTTTACTGAATTTACAGTCTGCTTCATTGTATTTTCAAATAGAAAATAGACTTAAAGTGTTTCTTGCTATTTTCTTTCTTTTTCTACATGCTCTAATATTTTGGTCCTTTTATTGAGTTTTTTTGATGTCAAGGTTTGTTTAATCTCTGTGGTGCATAAAAGTCTCATTTTATCTGTGAAAAATGGCCTGAGTTTAGTTAAGTCATTGGTCTTTGTTCTAAGACTTCATCCTCTAAAAACAAAAATGAATGACTATTAAAAAAAAAAGAGAAAATCCTCACATTATTTTCCCCCAGTTATAGTTCTTTCCAAGGACTATCTATTTTATTCACTAATATACCATAGAACTTAGAAAAGGATCTGACACTTACCAGTCACTCAAGTATTTGTTGAGTGAATTAGAAAAATTAACAACTGCCCTGTGAATTTTGTATATTCTAGTGAATTAAATTTCCTCTACATCATTTTCTATCTTAGGTGTTTGACTTTGAGTCAAATATATTAACAAGGCTAAAGTCATAATGAATTTTCTTAAATAACCAAAATACATCTATTAATTATTTTCTTGTACTTTTTATAAGGAAAAGGGGAAATTAAAACCTGGTACTCTAATTTAAAACAGAGATAAATGGTATTTACCAGTAGTATCCTTTTAGCTGTTATATTAAATTACTGTAATTCATAAATTTTATTATTATTTGTGATGTTGATTTTTTCAAAAAAATATAAAAATAATAGATTCTGACTTATTTTATAGTCAGGTATAGCAAACATTTCCCTTGCTTTTAACTTTATTAAAATTAAGTATTAATTTATTATGTATCTGATTTCTTTTTATTTATCAGTGTATATGCATCTATTTTTTCCTTCACTGGTAAATATTGAATGGACATTTTGTAATAAGTTTGGAAGTGAGTTAAATTTTCACATGCCTAAAGATATTTTTGTCTCAGATTGCTAAATATGTTTTTAAATTTTTGTAATGATTGCTTTAAAATATTCAGGCCAATACCCAATAGTATATTTTGTTATTCTTCAGGGACAATGGCCTTAAAGCAATTGAGAATTTGATGCAGAAGAAGGGGAAATTTGATTACATACTGTTAGAGACCACGGGATTAGCAGATCCTGGTAAGAAACAACATTATTAATAACCATCATATAGTTCTTACATTTTTTTAAATAACTATACTAGAGAAATCTCTAAAATGAGTTTTAAAGCTTTCTTCTTTGGTTAAGAGAGGAAAAATATCTGTTGTCATGTTCTTTAGAAGATAAATCATGATCAAAGTACTTAGTACTTTTAATCTCAAAATAGAATTTGAAGTTTTATTGATTGGTTTAGGGTTTGTAGTAGAAACAAAAATTGTTAAAAATACAAAAATTTAGGAAAATTTGAGACATTTTACTTTTAACTTTATATTTGATTAGATCTTACTAGTATTTCTGATTATTTTCCAATACAGTTTTCTTAGAAGGTCATGTAATCTCAAGAACTTTTGGATTCTAATTCTAGCAATACTTATTCCTGTAAATTATTGTTAGCATTTTGTTTTTCTGCTACTAAAATTAAAATAATTTTGGGAGTAAATCTATAATAATAAAAGGGTAATATGCTAATCAGACCAGACATCTTTCTGGACATCCTTCCAGATGAAGCCATGGCCGGAGGGAAGCCCAGGTCCTGGGTGCCGGCAGTTGGCTGGAGAGAAGCCAGCCCAGGTCCCAGGTGCCGGCAGTTGGCTGGAGAGAAGCTAGCCCGAGTATCTGGGTGCCAGAGGGAAGCCGGTGCTGGCAATTGGGGGAAGGAAGGCCTACTCTTACATGAATTTCATGCATCGGGCCTCTAGCATTATTATAAGGTGTAGAGTTGAATCAGGCCTTTTCCTGGTGTAGATTGATTATTCATGAAATTTTTACCTTTGAATGGAATTATATATAAACTTACCCAGTGAAAGCTACACAAAGTTGACCTGTTTCTGTCAATGGGTTTGTTTCCTTCTTACCCAAATAACTTTTTAAAAATATATATGTTTTATTTTTTTTAAAGAGTGAGAAACATTGATTTGTTACCTTCCATACACACCCAATGTAGGATCGAACCAGCAACCTAAGTATGTGCCCTGCCCAAGAATCTAACTGGCAATCTTTCAGTGCATAAGATGATGCTCCAACCAACTGAGCTGGCCAAGGTTCCCTAATAACTTTTACGTAACATTCTTATTCCTAGTTTGCAGAACCTTTCCAAGTCCAACTCATACCATTTTGTTTTGTAAGTCTGATCCATACCATTATTTCTTTTTGATCTGGATCTATGGCATTGGACCATAAAACTATATTAAAGTAACATTTGGGATTAATTTATTAAAAGGGTCATAATTATTTTAAAAGAAATATTGTAGTATACTGAAGGTTCAAATGTAATAAATGGTATTATACTTAAAAGTATTACATAATAACATTGCCCTCATGTTTTCAAACTAGTATTGAATGGGCTGTTTTGTTCTTATGGGATGCCTAGGTTTTTTATACATTTCATACATGTCCAATAGGTTTGATCAATGATACGATTTGAATTATTACACTAGTGTTAAGTATTAAATTCACTTAAATCTAGAAAGGTAGGAAAATATATGCCTCTTTTTAAAATAGCAAATATCAGTATCTTTCATTGTAATACCAGAAAAACTCTTGTAACTTTTTTTTTTAATGAGGTCTATGTGACATTCTTTTATTTTTATTGATTTCAGATAGGAAGAGGGAGGGAGCAAGAGATAGAAACATCAATGATGAGAGAAAATCATTGATTGACTGCCTTCTGCATGCCCCCTATTGGGGATTGATCCTGCAACATGGGCATGTGCCCTTGACCAGAATTGAACCCAGGACCCTTCATTCCATAGCTGAGCTAAACCAGCTAGGGCCTCTTGTAATTTTTCTTTAAGAGTAGGTGAGTTTAATAAAACATGGTTCAGCTTTTTAGAGGAAGAAAGAAAAGTTAAAGATCTCAGATAAAGCTTTTGTACAAATTATAGATATAAATGGGTTAATGTTTCTTCTGATTTTTTTTAGAATAATGATTTTTATTGTTTGGATAAAAATTAAACATTATTTTTAAAAATTAAAGAATACCTAAGAAAATATGAAGTTTAAAATAAAATCATCCTATGTTTCAGTACGTTGAAATTCAAGTAGGTAAATTTCATTCCCAGGACTTCTCTGTGCCAAGCTACTCATTATGGTTGAATGATAGCATTGGCCTCAGGAGCTTGTGGAAAGAGCAGATTCTTTTTTTTTTTTTTAATAGTAGGGGCCCAGGTCACAAATTCACACACTTTGAAAGGAACTGTGGGCTGCGAGGCTGCGGTGGGTATGGGGGCAGGTCTCAGCCCATCATCCGTGCCTCTGTCCAGCCCCTTCTGCCATAGCCCCCAGTCTCCTACCTGCTGGCAGCTCCATTCCCACACACTGACAGCACCAGCCCTGCTTGTTCCCGCTGATGACGCCAAGCAATTGGAGCCGGCACCAGAAGTGGGTGTGAGCAAGGCCATCACCAGCAGTGGATGCAAGAGGCGGCTGCCTGCCCCAATTGCCCCTCAGGAGCTGGGGGAGGTGGAGAACCCTTGAGGGGTGATCAGGGCCAGCAGCTGCCACTTCCACCCACTGACAGCTCTGGGCACTGGCAATGAGTTCAAGTAATGGCAGCAGGTGCAAGCACCAGGCAGGACTTTGGTATGCGAGAGCAAAGAATTTTCAGTCTTGCCCTGATGACAGTGACCGGTGCCCCATTTTGGTCTGGTGCCCCTGCTCATCTGCTCCACCGTCCTTCTGAGACCAATGCCCATCATGTTCCGCGCTCTGCCACCTGTTGCCAATGCCTGCCATATTCCACATGTGCCCCCTAGTGGTCAACACATTTCATAACTACTGGTTGTTCAGTAGTTTGGTTGTTCTGCCGTTTGGTCTATTTGCATATTAGAGTTTTCTCTCTTATCTCATAAAAAAGTAATATACAAATAACCATACCTCCGCTACACCCACCAGCCAATCAGAGCGAGTATGCAAATTATCCCAACCAAGTTGGCTTCAGCCACAGAGAGCAGGAGGGAGGCTTAGGTTTCCTAGGCAATGGAAGAAGCCGTGCTTTCTACCTGCCCTAGCCAGCCTAAGCCTCCACTCAAGGCTACAAAGTTTCAGTTATAGAAGGTAAACAAATCCAAACAGAAATGGTGGCAGCCACAGAGCAAGCAGAAGGCTTGGCTCCAATCCAGGCTACAAAGTTTCAATTGTAAAAGGTAAATAAATTCCAGATACCAGGACCTCTGCTTGGGTCGTTGGGGTGTGTGGCTGGCCTGCAAACTGCCACATGCCCCTCACCCAGGCCGCCCCACATCCCAAAGGAACCCCCACCCTAATCTGGGAAACTCTTCAGGGCAAACCAGCTGGCCCCCACCTGTGTACCAGGCCTCTATCCTATCTAATGAAAGAGTAATATGCAGATTGACCATCACTCCAACAGACAAGATGGCTTGCCCCCATGTGGATACAAGATGGCCACTACAAGATGGCCAACAGGGGAGGCAGTTGGGCGGTACCAGGCCTGCAAGGGAGGGCAGTTGGCAAAAACAGGCTGGCAGGGGAGCAGTTAGACATCAATCAGGTTGGCATGAGAGTGGTTAGGAGGTGATCAGGCTGGCAGGCAGAAGTCGTTAGGGGCAATCAGGAAGGCAGGCAGCCTACCAGGATCGGGCCTAAACAGGCAGTTGGACATCCTTTGAGGGGTCCCAGATTGGAGAAGGTGCAGGCTGGGCTGAAGGACACTACCTCCCCCTCTCTCCATGCATGAATTTCATACAGCAGGCCTCTAATATATAGATATTTATTGATTTCAGGAAGGAAGAGGGAGAGAGAAAAATCAATGATGAGAGAGAATCATTGATTGGCTGCCTCCTGCACACCCGCTACTGGGGCTCGAGCCCGCAATCAGGGCATGTGCCTTGGACACTCTACCTACTGAGGCAAACCAGTTAGGGCCAAAAAAAAAAAAAGCAGATTCTTGAACCCCATCACAGATCTATTGATTCAGAATCTCTAAGGGTGAGGCCTAGCAATCTCCAGGTGATTCTTATCTATAAATATAAAAACCAAGCAACCTGAACTACCGGAATGACTGGAATGCACTGCGGTGGCTGATCAAACCCCCAAACTTCACTTTGCCCCTTCTCTCAGCCAGCCACGCCTCTGATCCCCGCCCCCGCTTAGATCGGGGTGGGACTGGCCACCAACTTCCCAGTCCCTCTACCTGTCAGCAGGCCCTAATTGCCCTATTGGGGCCAGGGAACTGGGAGTGGGTGGTGGCAGATATGGGTAGTTAGGGAAGGGGAAGTGGGGGAGGTGGGAATCTGATCGCCAGCCAGGCCTAGGGACCCACCTGTACATGATTTCATGCACTGTGCCTCTAGTAAATTCATAAGACTGGGAAGCCCTGTGCTATGCATTTCTGAAAACTGTATAAATATGCAGAAATATTTTATAAAATGGAATCTCATTCCTTGTGCTGTTCTGAAATAACTAGAGGCCTGGTGCACAAACTAGTGCATGAGTGGGTTCCAACCAGCCCCACTGTGAAGGGGACTCTTTGGGGGAGGGGCCTTTCAGGGGGAAGGTTTGCAGGTAGTTGGAGGGCTGGCTCCGCCCCCTGGTTGAACTCCTGGTCAAACTCCTGGTCAAGGGGACAGTTTGCATATTAGCCTTTTATTATATAGAATTATTTAGTTTAACTTGAATTTAAAAGACGTGAAGGAATTGCTGAATATAAGGTAAATGCTTCTTGTTTACAAGAGATGTGAATTAAGTAAAAAAGAAAAAGATTTTTGGACAAGTTGTTTTTTAAACTTCACATTTCAATTTTGAGAGCATTTATTAGCTCTCTGGAATAGAAGATGAGGGAATTAACACCCATCAACTTTCTCCCTCCTCTTGGTTTGGATTTATTGTATTCTGTGCTATGTTGTCAAGGTTTCTAATATTTACATTCTGTCCTACTTTGTTTAGTTTTCTGCTTAAGCAGTTTTAGTCCTCATTACCAGTATTGTGGCTTCTCATTCCTTTGTTGATCATTCTCTTGATTGGCTGAATTTCATGGTCAGGTAATCTTTTCAAGCTATAGGTGCTGTATTTCCTGAGTTTTTGCATACTTAATTGCTTGAGAATACTTGTGTTTTGTTTTTCTACTTGAGGGATTACTTGGCGAGGTTCAAGATTTTCAGACACAATTTCTTTTTCTCAGAACTTAGCAAATGTAGTTCCAAGATCTCAGTATGTTTTGATTAGTTGAATTTCCTTGTTCAGTATTTTCTTTTTATTTCATGATGAAGGATTTTTGAATGGTCTATTTTTTTAGTTTCAATGCTTGTTGTTTTCTTTAATGTTTGAGAATGTCTGCCTATTGTTTTATTCTCAAAAGACTACTTGGCTGAAGGCAATATTTTTAGGGAAAAATTTCATTTGAACTTTCTGGTCATTATCCTAATATATAAAAACCCTGGGTCATAATGACCAGTAACAACCGGAGTCTGACCAACCAGAAGCAAATAGTTAGGGGCAATCAGGTAGGTAGGCGAGTGGTTAGGGGTGATCAGGTAGGCCGACCAGTGGTTAGGGGTGATCAGACAGGTAGGCGAGTGGTTAGGGGAGATCAGTTAGGCAGACAGCAAAGAAAGAGGTAGGCCCAGGCCAGCCAAGCCATTGCATCCCAACCTGTCACCTACAGAGGGAGCCACAAATGGGAGGGGAGGGTGGACGGTGCTGCACAAATGCAAGTAGTGGCAGCAGTAGGGTTGGGGCCAGCTGCCTGCAGCCCAGGGAAGGAAAGCCCTGATAGGCCCTGATCACAGGCCAGGTCTAGGAACCCTACCTGTGGGGTCCTGGATTGTGAGAGGGTGCAGGCGGGCTGAGAGGACCCTACCACCCCAGAGTGCACGGCTTTTCCTGCCCCGGGCCTCTAGTTTTATTATATTGGGGCAGTGAATATTGCTGCAGAAAAGGCTGGGTGTTTTTTCTGCCTCCTTGAAAGTGACTTGAATTTTTGAAGTTCAGTAATATACTCTACCCATTTTACTTATATTTGTTTTTTTTCTCTTGAGCTCCAGTTTGAAAACGGGGTATTGTTCGGAGTAGAGGGAAATGGGAGACTGAGAGTGCCAGATGGACAATGTGCCTTTTAGGGGTGATCAGATAGGCAGGCCAGTGGTTAGGCGTGATCAGGTAGACAGACAGTCACTCGCCCAAGCAAGTGGTTAGGAGCAATCAGGCAGGCAGGCAGAGTGGTTAGGGGTGATCAGGTAGGCAGATCAGTGGTTAGGGTGATCAGGTAGATAGGTGAAGATGATTTATGTATAATCTTAGGAATTATACTGAGTTGAAAACTTAATACTTTTTTATCATTTATTGTTTGGAGTAGTGATACAGTAGACATACTATTCAGCTTTATTTTTAGCTCTCTGGAAATTCAAGTGCTTTTAATTTTTTTTTTTTATTCCTTGCATTGTTGAATTCCAGTATATTAGTGAATAATATATCACAATTTGTTTATCCACTTAGATTTTTATTAAATTTATTTGGGTGATGCTGGTTAATAAAATTTTACAGGTTTCAGGTGGACAGTTCTGGAACACTTTATCTGTACATGGTATTCCCAAGTCTCCGTCCATCGCCATTTATCACCATGCACCCCTTCCTGGGTTTGTTCTAATTATTCATGAATATATATATATCACATACCTTGTGTGGGGATGTCCTTGAGCTTGAGACCTTTCACTTCATTTTACTCTGAGCCCTAGAAAGGGACTCCCTCCCTTACAAATGTATAGATGACAGGAAACTTTTACCTTCTTTTTTTTTTTTCATATTGCTTATTCCTCCCTCAGTTTTTCTTGTCATTTTGAAAACTATTTATGGAAAGTATTAGGACTTTGTAAACTAGTTCCCTATAATCTTACTGGGTATGGAAGTAGAATTAAGAGCTATCATAAGTCACATAGAATTTTCTGTTTCTTATTTTACCACCACTCTTCAAAACTTATGGCAGGAGGTTGTGTATTTGGTTGCTGCTGCCAAAATCTAGCTTTAAAATTTTTATCTTATTTTTCATTGTATTAGGTTTTGAAAAGGGAGATTCTATCATCTAACTCAGGATTTCTTAACCTTTGCACAAATGACATTTTATGCTAGATAATTCTTTGTTGTATGAGGCTGTCTTGTGTATTGTAGAATGTCTAACAGCATCCCTAGTTTCTACCCACTACATGCCATTAGCAGTACCCTAGTTAAGACAACTAAACATATCTCCAGACATTGCCAAATATCCCCTGGGGGAGAAAAATCACCCTGGTTTGAGAACTATTGATTAACTTCATTCTCTCATGTCTGCTTCTCCTTCTAAACTCCTGCATCTAAATTTGAAATAGTTCTTTCTTGTGTAGCCTGGTAAGTATTATACCACAGATACCCATCTGATTTTGATAAAAGCTCTAATATATTCTTGTAGTTCAACTTAACACTAGGCAAATGCTAACTATCAAGTACTTATAAGATATCTGAATAGAAATCAGTGAATTTTTAAAAAAATGAAGATGACTTATGTATAATGTTAGGAATTATACTGAGTTGAAAACAATACTTTTTTATGATTTATTGTTTGGAGTCGTGATACTCACAGTAGACTTACTTTTTCCCCCTGATTAATTAAAATCATGTTGTTAGCCAAGTAAGTGAAGAAAATTTGTATTGGCGATTCAGTTGTTTCCCATTTAGGAGACTGACATTCTCCAGTTCTAAGCTAAATAATTGTCGTGGTAAAGTAATTTTCTTGAAAGGGACAGACATTGATTCAGCCCCTGTTACTCACAAATCCTATTTCAGTCAAATTGGAAAACTATTAAGTTTTTGGGAAAAAATCAATAGGTATCAGGAAACCATTAGATCTTGGGGCCCTTGCTATATCTTGCATGAGTAATCATTGTAAACAGCTGACAGGTATTTCATTGTTGACACACAGTGATGCTTGGGGGATCACATCTCGTCAGGGTAGGTGGACAGTTTTAGACATTGGAACAAGTTCAGTTACCCTTGTTTTTCCCCAGTACTCATTCTTTTAGACAGCCCTGTCACTAACTGGACCTGTGATGCTTTGAAAGATCAAATACTTTTTTTGCTGTCAGTTTTCTTTTTCTTGTGTTGTGGTAAACTAATCAGGGTGTGTGGATTGGTACTGAACCAGTTTCTATTAAAAAACAAGTTTTAATTTCTTATTTAGAAATTATTTTTCCTCAAACCCAAATTTTATATCAGTATTAAATAAATAGTGAAAGGATTTCTTGTTCTTTTTCTTCTATAGAATTTACAAATATTTTTTGACAAATGATTTTGGAATTATCTGTGTTTTCTTTTGCTTTCCTTTAGAGATATAATTTAATATTTTTGAACTGTATAATTATTATTTTCAGGAAAGAGAAAATAAAAATATGTTCTTTGTGCATACAGCCATATTGCTCAAATTATTTGATAATATCGGTTGGTAAATCATTATTTTATTGGTAGAAGCTTGGTGTTGGGTTTATTGTTTGATAAAAGTTGGTCTATTGTTTTTTAAGATAAAGGGAGAGAGGAAGAAATGGATGTAAATAGTAAAAGATTCTATCACTGTAATTTCCATAGGAAGATTGGAAACCCATGTTTAATTTGTGTACGTGTTTCCCTGCTAATTCTGTTGGGGCAAATTAAAACATTACAGGTAGAACTGTGTTTCTCAGTTTGGAGAAATATTTTTATTTGATTACTATATATATTTTCAGGTGCTGTAGCTTCTATGTTTTGGATTGATGATGAATTAGGGGTTGACATTTATCTTGATGGTAAGTTTAAAGAAGAAATTTGTTTTGTTTTCAAGTAAAATATTATTATATGGTTAAGATGATTTTTGTTCACTCATGTTATAATTTTAATTCCTTACATTCTTACTCTTTTAAAACTTGTTTAGTTTGATGATGAAGTAATTCTTTGTTCATACAAATTCTAATTCCCCAGACAATGGTGGAATTAGATATCAGATATTTTGTATATTTTTATGCTTTATTTTATTTTTTTTTTGGATGTCAGATCTTAATCTCAACTTCCAAATTAGTACTTCGACTAAAAGTTTCCTTTCAAAATAAATACTAGGTAGATTTTCTATATCCTTCTTTTATTTATGTCTTATTATGTGTTGTCTGCCTCTCTTTTGTTGTGTCTTACCCCTTCCCCCACATCTCTTACCTTTTTCTAAACCAGATCTTTCATAGACGAAGCAGTGAAATCATTTAAGAATCATTGAAGCTGGGCCCTGTTATTTGGCTCTAATATTTGTGATGTACAGTTGGTTGAATTATTTAGGCATCAACAAATTCATTCTACTGTTATCCTTTGAAAAAGTTATTTAGCATATAAATTCAGAGATTGTCAAACTAATTGATCATCTGAAGATTTAGGTTCAAATTATATATAACATTTGTGTGAGTTAGATTTAGTGAGAGATTATATCCTAAGACATCTCAGATTTATTAAACAATAATTTAAATATTAAGAAAATTCTCAAATTAGCCGAAGCCGGTTTGGCTCAATGGATAGAGCATTGGCTTGGGGACTGAAAGGTCCGGGGTTCGATTCCGGTCAAAGGCATGTACCTTGGTTGCGGGCATATCCCCCGTGGGGGGTATGCAAGAGGCAGCTGATCGATGACTCTCTCTCATCGATGTTTCTAACTCTGTATCTCTCTCTCTTCCTCTCTGTACAAAATCAATAAAATATATTTTAAAAAAAAGAAAGAAAAAAAAAAAGAAAGAAAATTCTCAAATTAGATTATGTGAAAATAAATTAGAAATAACCTGTTTTGTGTAATTTGTCACATTTTACTTTATATTATGAAATTAAAATTTGTCTCATAATATTTTGGATTATAAGTTAAAAAGCTTGCTTATTTAAATTAAAAATGTTATTTATTTTATATTCTAATACCTTAAAGTAGTGCTGGAGATTCAGTACACATTTGAAAATGCATGCGCTTATTAATGGAATTGAATTAAATTGCAGCCTTGGCAAGAGAAAAATATACTTTATTGAGTCACATTTGTATGCTGAAATAGATTAGTTTTAATTTTTATTCTCAAGTATAAAGGTGATAAATGATTTATTTCTTTGTAGGTATCATAACTGTTGTGGACTCAAAATATGGATTAAAAGTAAGTTGAAAGATTGCTAGGAGTTGCTAATTATTTAAGAGCTGAGTATATGTTCATTGATTATATTATTTTCTCTACATTTGTATCTGTTTGAAATGTTTCTTGACAAAATATTTTTTTAAAGTATCCTGAACAGTAGATAAAATTTGTGTTTTTAAATTATTATTTTGTGCTTTTGAATTAATTATTTTCTATTACTTTGGCTTGATGTGATAAAAGTTGGAGGTAAAATATTTTGTAATAAGAATATTACAGGATAAAGTTCGGATGTGTATAACTCCTCAGTAGGGTTCAACCCCAATGTTGATAAGTTTTTCTGATTGATAGAGGAAACTGAGCTTGATAAAGCATGAGAGCTTATTTTTCTTGTTAAACTGCAATGCTGTAGATAATTGAGCTTTAAAAAACAATACTGCTTCACCTGTTTTTAAGAAATCAGGATTTATTCGTAGATTTAGTAAAGAGCAACTCTTAAAGGCATCCTACCCTGAATGTTTTTGGTCCTTAACAAAGTCCTCAGGTGCACTTTAATGGGCTTCAATTTATAAAATGCACTTAGCAAGATTTTTTAAAGTATATTGTTACATAAAAATATGTTATTAAATAAAGTAAAATCGTGTTTCTCAACTTTCCAAGTGAAAGAAGAGAGTAAAGTTATTTTCCATCTCCCAGTTCCAATCTGGGGATATGGATAGTGCCCAGTATAATAATTTTTTTAAAGATTAAATTTTAACGTTTAACAATTTATGTCTGCTTTGTGTTCTGTCCTACAATATATCTAAACTTGTTAATTTTAAAAAATTTGTTTTTCTTACAAACTTTTATTAAAATGATGATCTAGAAATCTATGGCAGTCTTATCAAATGGTTATCAATACCCTTTCTCTGGCTCTTCAATTCCCTCACGGGTAGAGCACCCTAATTTGAGAAGTTTGGGTGATAATTTCTTAGTAGATTTTTAAGTCCAAATTTATTAGTAATAATAGTCCTAAGAATCAAAGTAAAATTCCAGATATTACAATTTTACTAGAAAAATTCTGACAGTTCTGAACTCATAACATTTCTAGCAAAATGTTGATGAAGAAAGAGAAAAAAAAAAAATCCTCAAATTCTGAATGATTTCTGGAATGTTTAAATTTATTTCCTATATAAATTTTTAGCTGAATTTAGGATCTTATGGAATAGATAGAAGTTAAAATTTTTTTATTTTATTGATAGACTTAAAGTGCAATACTTAAAGTCAAACTCTTTATGTATTTATGATTATTAGAATAATTTTATGTGTATATTTGGATATGGAAAGGAGTTAAGTAGAATCTATTATCAGTGTGATAGAGGCCAGAAAATCAAAGCAGCATTCTGAATAATGCAAACACAGTAAACATTTAACCTCCTGCCACCTTGATAAAACCTCTTAAATTATTAAATCAATATACCTACATAAAACTGACATACTGTCAGGATAATGGAAACTTTAGATTTTCTAAGTCAGATGCCAGATAAATAACTTTTCCTTTATATAAAGAATTTGCCAACTTGTCCAATTCCTCGGGTTGCAAAGCTTGACCTCAGTAGCTGCTTGTGATTCAGAGAATTCTGAAGCAGTACAAGTAATGACACTTGGATAATGGGCAGCAATTTAAGGGTGTCATGCTTCACAGAGCCAGCCCATCACAAGTGAAGCTGAAAAATGGTACCCTGTGGCCAGCCAGCCAAATTGAAACTGAAGTGGTAATTGATATCATGGGCTATCACCTTAATGGGATTGTCACCCATTGATCTGAAATATTCATTTTTTAATCATGGGCAAAGAATTGGACAACTTTAGTGACAGCTCTCTATTCTTAGGACTTGACACTGAGGCTACTGACATTGTTCTTTTCAGTTCTACAAATGTGACAGCATTTAATGCAATAAAATCAATGAATGAAGTTACAGAGAAAAGGTCAAGGAAGAGGTTTCTTCTTGGTTCTTTTGTCATATTGCACAAGCTGGTGAAACAATTCAGTCAGAAAACAGTTTGGCTTGGAAAAGACCAGCAAAATAAGTAGAATGACATTATGCAATATCTTTTTTTTAAAAAGCCAAAATAGTGTTATATTTATAACCGATCCATTGGAAAGAAATGCCTGCTTTTTTTTTTTTTTTTTTTTAATGTCATCTGACATCTTTGACACTAGATTTATTTCCACTTTGGTCAACAACCGTGTTTTCTTTCCTTTTTTTTTAATTAAAAAAAATGCAGCTTGTTTCTATTTCTGCAGAAAAGGACACTTATAGCCCTTATTGAAGTTGTGCCTACAATGGTTTTATTTAAAATGGTTACTTTCTTATGGTATATTAAGTTATAGAGTGGAACATTAATCTTTTGGGTATGTTAGATTAATTAGCACCAAAATTATTTTTGTCTTTTTTGAAATATAAGCAAAAGCCACAGTCTTTAAGCAGAGTTGAGGATTCCTTTGGGGAGGTATATGTGTATATATGTAATTTTTTTTTCCAAAATTTTTTTCTTCCTTGCCTGTAGAGATAGAATAGAATGTAAAAATGCCAATTTCTTTAAACCTCATAAATGGAAGTCATCTGACTTAATAGTATATAAGCTGATATTAGAGAATGTCCTTTTGAATAGCAGCCATTGGTTTTAGTCATTTTATAGAGTTTGTCTGGGGAAGGTGGGAGGTTGCATAAGGGAAATGTTAGGCTGATATCCAGAGAAAATAAATGTTAGTATGCATTTATTATTTCTGTATGTTTGTATAGCCTTCATATGTTCATAGAACCGGGCATTTATCTCTTCAGCTGTAATATGATTATTATATGTCATATTCTTCATAGAGTTGTGTGTGTTGGCAGATTTTTATTTTGGAGAGATGATGTAGTTGTTTTAATATGTTTATATTGATTTCAAAGAGAGGAAGGGAGAAGGAGGGAGAGAGGTAGAAATATTGATTGGCTAACTCCTGCATGCCCCCTCACTGGGGAAAAAGCAACCCTGGACATGTGCCCTGACCAGGAATCCAATGGGTGATCTCTGGTGCATAGGACAATCCACAATACATTGAGCCCACTGGCTGGGCTATTTTGAAGAGTTATAACATTTTTTATGTGATACTGATGGACTGCCTAGAGGTAGTAAAATATAGCTTTGAGTGAAGATTTATAATTTTCTTGAGAAGTAAATGCATTAAAAACAAGAGTTACTTTGTGGAACTACTATTAATTCTGTTTAGGTCTGAAATTCAAAACTGGTTTCTAATTTTCTTGCCAAATCTTTTTCATATTTCACCAGCTCATAGCCAATAGCACCAAATTCATATGTAAACAAAGCTTCCAAAAGTCAATAATATATTTTGAAAAATAATTTAAAAGAACTTAAGTATTACAGGATCAATCAGGAACAGGTGACTAGCTAAAAATTCATCTTTGCTGAATAGATGTACTACTGAATAGAAAGGGATTTGTTGCTTGATGTTATATAAAACTAGAGGCATAGTACACGATATTCGTGCACAGGGGTGGGGGGGTTCTCAGCTCGACCTGCACCCTTTCCAACCCGGGAGCCCTCAGGGAATGTCCAACTGATGGCTTAGGCCCATTCCCCATGTTTCTCTGCTTTCTGCGGGACTTGTCTGCTCTACACCGCAGCAATCGGCAAGCAGGTCCTGCTGGGTGCTGTTGGCAGCTATGCTTGCCTGCTCCCAAGTTACCCTGGTGACCGACAAGCAGGCCCTGCTAGGTGCTGTTAAGCTGTGCGGCCACCCTTGCCTCCCAGGGCCAGTGATGGGCTTGGTGCCCATCCCCAGGACTCTTCCTTCTTGGCACCTGAGTATGCAAATTAGCCCATCATCTTTGTTGGGTTAATCTGCATACTCCTGATTGCCTCGTGGTCATCATGGATGTGTGGTCAATTTGCATACTTCTTTTTTATTAGTGTAGATATTTTAAATAACGTTCATGTACCTGTCAACAAATAGAGGGTATTAATTAAAATTCATTTAACAGATATTTGTTAAGCCTGAATGTGAGGTTTTCTTTCCAGGATATTAACAGCCTTATTCTCTAGAGGACACAATAATAGGATTAGTTAGAGCCTCAGGGCAAGAATAATAGTCAAAAATAGTAAACCTGGTCTTTTGGCAAGGAACAATTTTTGCTACAATATTCTCCAAGTTTTATGATTTCCATGACTTGAGTGGGCCTGCAGTTAAATTTATAGCATTATACCTAATGTGGAAACCAGTACATTATTACTGTAGTTTTAGTTTAGTCTTATTTCCTCCAAAATAGAATTTGAGAAACTTTTAAAAGAAAAACACTTTTCTCTATAGACTTAACCAATACTATCAAATAAAAGTATTAATAGATTGCTCTTAGGTTTCAAACTATTCAAATATCTTAATGATCTGCCTCTCCATGAATTGTGTAACTAGTTTGATGAAATAATTTTTTTAGTAAATGTGCTGCCAAAGCAAAGATGGTGAAGTAATTTTAAATCTAATTTTTAGGTTATTTTTACAAATACACTGAGTGGCCAGATTATTATAATAATTTGGCCACTCAGTATATATCCTATATAATAAAAGGCTAATATGCAAATTGTCCCCTCAATCAGGCGTTCGACCAGCAGGCAGGCTGGCCAACTGCCCATGTCTCCTGCCCCTGGCCGGACTGGCCGGACCCCACCTATGCATGAATTCATACACCGAGCCTCTAACACATACACACACACACACACACACACACACACACATATACACATACACATTAAGTAGCCAGATTATCATGCGTTCAGAGATCATAATAATCTGGTCATTCAGTATATATATACTAGGTGAGAAGAAAAAGCCAGAAATTGTTACCCATATTCTTATGTGATTATTAACATATGTATAATACTGTATGCAAAACTGATTTGATAAGACAAAAAGCTTTCACAAGGACTTAAAAATAATGTTCATTTTACTTCTAATGTAAATTTTACTTACATTTAAATTTTAGTAAAATACACCTATAATAATGTGTTCTGTGATTGTCATGGCATTAGATTTAGTTTCTTCTTTTCTAAAATGAGAATAGCCTTTTCCCATAGTGGTTATGAAGACTAAATGAGATAATATGTGTAAAAGGATTTAATAATTGTGAAGTTTGATTCAAATATGAAGAATATAATCTAATTTCAGTATACAGCTTTTGAGAGTTAAGATAATGAAGGTGAAATATTTTTTCAGAGGAACTTTATGGCTTTGATAACATTGGAGATATAAATAGGATTATGAAAAAATAACTGCATCCAGAGAGATGAGCACTACCTTGTGGGCCTCTAAGTCAATGCAAAATATTATTTTGGAGTTAGTGTGATTCTGGAAAACACAACAAAATAAACAGTTGCATGGAGAGGCCAGATCACTCAAGTGTTTCTAAATGATAAACTGTTTTTATGCTAGAATTAGGGCTGGGCCCTTCTCTTAGCACATTTGTTTCTAGGGTATATGAAGGGCCCAGTGCTGAGTTAATTATAATGTAATATAATTCTAGGGTGGGGAGTGAGGCTCTTTTTTATTAGCATTCTGTCAACTGGGTTCTTTAATTTGAATTTATGTATATCTGTTTTACAGAGAACACATCCTAGCTAATAAAGAGGGAATATGCTAATTGACCATCACTCCATCATAAAGATGGTTTCACCCACAGCTGAGGCCAAGTTCCCATAAGGAGCCTTAACAGGCAATCAGCAGGGACCTGAGGCTACACCCTCCCCCACCCCCATAGGGCTTGACAGGGGACATCAGGCCACACACCTTCTCTCCAGCACCAGGCCAGGGACCTGTGGCTGCACCCTCTTGCCTGGCTGGGCTTGACAGGGGACCTCAGGCCATCCTCCCCACCCAGCCGGGCTTGACAGGGGATCTCAGGCCATGTTTCCCACTTGATGGGGCTTGATGGGGAACCTCAAGGCATATCTCCTACTCCATTCTGGGCTGGGGGGACCTCAGGCCATGTTCCCCATCCTGGCATCGGGCCAGGGGACCTGAGGCTATGTCCCCTGCCCAGTGAGGCTTGCCAATGGGATCTAGCCCAATGATGGCGGGGGCTGGCTAGGCCTGGGTCTCATTCGATTTTGAAGTATATGTAGGTGGGCAGGGACTTGACTCTGGGTCCCATGGTGTGCCTCAGATTCTGACAGGAGGAAGGTTTTCAATATACATTTTACGAATTTTCTTTCATCTCTGACACTTTTATTATAGAGAAAGGGCAAATAGCAATAATAAATTATTTTCTCTAATTAATCCCCTTTTAGTCTGCATGAATTTTGTGCACTGGGTCACTAGTGTATTCATAATGATGAAGATATTTGCTAAAGATCTCAGTAAATCTTCTGAAGTGTAGTTTTTTAAAGAGAAGTATATTAGGCTATAACAAATTCTATTATTATGTCCTCTAGAGTGGGAAGTATATTAGATGTGTTCAAAGTACAGTTCAATAGTTATCTTTTAAAATAAGTAGCAATGAATATTTAGAACAAGAACAACTTTATAAAAAGGAAAATGCCTAACTATAATGTTCTATGTGTTTGACTTTATTTAAATGTGGAGGGTTTTCCTTTTAAGAAAAAATGTCAGGGGATACAATTTAAGCTGCCCCCCCCAAACAAACAAACAAACAAACAAACAAACACCCTACAGGTTCACAGTAGGAAAAAAATTACAAATGGAGAAGAACTAATTTGTATATTCAGTAATAGAGCTTGTTAAAGTCTTTGTCAGAGGTGAGAAAGGAGTCTGCAAAGTAAAACCCTTTGTGTTAACATTAGATTTTGTTGCACTACAGTAACATTTTTCAAACTTTGTTTTTGTTTAGCATTTAACAGAAGAAAAACCTGATGGCCTTATCAATGAAGCTTCTAGGTATTCATATTTAAAGTATATATTGATTTCAGGCTAATTGGAAAGAGAAAATTATGAATGTGAAAACCAAAAGCAAATATAAAAACATAAGTCAAGGAATTTATCTTTTTTTCTGTAGTGGAATTATTTTTATTTATAATAGTCTGATAACTAAACTTTTGTTTAAAACTTTCTTTATTATAGCATAAAGGGAGTGCTGGGCATAGGAGTTCTTAATGAGGAGTTTGAGAACTGTTAACATTTAAAAAATATTTTTAAAAAATATTTTATTCTCATAACATTTTGGGGGGGATTGAAGAAGATCATAAAAAAGTTGGGTTACTTGCTGCCTTTTTTTTTTTAACAGGATTTCATTTGAATCAAATGTTCACTGTTATTCAGAATAATAGAAGACCCAATATGGATATGGTTTAATTTGGCATTTAGAACATTTTTTTTTAAATACTTTTATGCTTCTGATTGGTGTTTCTTTAGACTTAAAATATTTAAGTAGTTTGCCTACTCTAAGCATATTCTCACTAATAGGAAAAAGGTTTTTGGATAAATGACAGTCACTAAAAATGCTGTTGGGTTTAAGAATGAGCTCCCTTGAAATTTGCTATGAATGATCCAGACATAAATAATGAAGACTACAAGCAATCAATTGATTTCCTATCTTTTTGGAGTGTGGTACTCTGTTGTTATGTAATACTGCCTAAGCATTCATTTGGTATATACTTGTAATTCAAATTAGAGTGAACTTAAATGTTCTTGTATCTTTTTCCTTTATTATGTTTATTATAGAAAATGCAAATAAACCAACCAGAAAATAGGAAAATATTATAAAAAGCTAAAATAAAATTAAACATAAAAGACCTCCAATTTAAAGATTGCACCTGCTTATATTTTCAAATGTGCACATTCATGTAAAATTTATTTAAAAAAAAAAAGGATTGTGATATGCATGCTATTGAAACCTGCTCTTTTAATGAATTAAAATTAATTTATTTTTGAGAATTTGATTGTGTTATCAGCTATACCTCCAGGTAGCACAAAACTAGGATGGGTACAGATAGTCTCATGATTAAAATTTCCTGAGGATTTGAGGAAAATTTAAAGACTCCTCAGCTTTACTATTCCTGTTAGTAGAATATATAAATTCTGTTATAGTAAGCTATTTTTTTTACTCAGCTTTCTGTTAACTGGATTCTTTAACTTGAACTTTTGTATATCTGTCGTACAAAAAAATATATTGATATGTTCATAGTGATGAAATAGAATTTGTTAGAGATCCCGATAAACCTTCTGAGGTGTAGTTTTTTAAAATACTGTTTAATATTTTTAAAAAACTTAATTCACATTATTTTTTTGAAAATTATGTTAACTATTACATGGAATATTTTAGTAAGTAAACTGTTCTTATTTTTGCCATATTGGAAATCTGAATTTTATGTATTTCTTTACAAAGAAAATCATGAGTTGATAATCATCCTAATTGTAAATCATCCTTGGTTATAAACTTTTGAGACTTGTTCTAGAGTAGCGAGTGAAAGTACTTAGTAAATATTTTTAATAAATAATGTGAAATTTGAATTTATATAGTGATGAATATAATTTGTTCTTATTTCTGAAGAATAAGTAGGTTAGGAATAACTTGAATTGCTTTATAGAGGACTATATAGTTTTTAACTGATAATTGGTCTGAAGGAAATGTTTCTATTTATTTTTAATTTCTTAACATTTTTGTTTTGACATCTGTTCTTGTTTGCTAATTTAGGCAAGTTGCTTTGGCAGATATCATCCTCATCAATAAAACAGACTTGGTTTCAGAAGAGGATTTAAACAAATTAAGAACAACTATTAGGTACAAAATTATAACTGTTAAGTACCTACAAATTCTAAATGTACTACACAAAATATTTTTACCATGTACCATTAGAGAATCACATGTATTGTTATTGACTGACTTATATAAGTAGTAATATATGAAATTATTCCTCATTGCTTACTGAGCATTGTTCAAAGTTCATAGACTAATATTCAGGGTCTTCTGACTTCATCCTGCTTTTCCTGTCTTTTCTGACTTTTTCCTTACATGATGTTCTCTGTACCCAGGATGATTATTTACTTATTTTCTCATGTGTCTTGTGAAATCCTTTTATTAGTTATATTGTGTTTTCACTTTGCCAGTCCTTGAATTCCTTATCTTCTCTGTTTTTCTTCTTTATTTTTTCCCCAGCAATTTTATCCATTCCCTAAAACTCCTCCTTTCCCCCTCCTTTTTCTTCCTCTTTCCTATGTGAAGTTTTCCCTGACTTACGTGGTCTTACTTTTACCTGAACCTTCATTGACTTTGTCTTTCTTAACTGTCAACTGACCATACCTGTTTTCCGGTTGGTTTGTTTTTTTCATACCAAATAATTCATATTCTTAATTTATTTTGATTCATAAAACAACCCTTTTGTATACCATTTTGTAGCAGATAAACCTGTGACTTGCAAAGACAAGTAATAGCCCCATGGTCATAGAGGTCAGAAGTGGTAGCATGGGGTTCAAACCTAAGCAGGACTCTAAAGCACCTGACCTTTATTTATTTCTTCATTTTTAATTTTTTTTATTTTGCATTTTAATTTCTTTATTGGTTAAGGTATTATATATTTGTCCTCATCCCTCTCTTCCTCCCATTACCTTCACAAACCCCACACACACTCATGCCCTCACTGCCCTGTTGTCTGTGTCCACTGGTTAGGCTTATATGTATGCATACAAGTCCTTTGGTTGTTCTCTTTCCAGCTTGTTTTAATGTCTGCAGTATTCATGGTCTTTACCAATCAATATAGGATAATATGAATGGTACTCAAATATGTGTTAAGTGATCCAACAGAAACTTGGACTTTTCAAGTAAAGTTAGAGTTTAGGGACTTTGAATTGTTTTATAAGACCCAAACTAATAAATGACTATAAAGATACATTGAATAGTTTTTATTATTAGTCATCTTTAGTGGACACAGTCTGCTGACATCAGATTTTGAATTTGTCAGTGCCAGTTCATGTAATATATGTTATGAATGGAATTAATGAAGCTAAGACTCACTAGGAGATTGCCTACAATGATAATGATTACAGAAGAAAAAATTCATGTTTTCCTTCATATTTAGTCTTATTTTAACAGTAATAACCCCTCAGACTTTACTATGAAAAACTGTAATAATGTCTCCAAGTGAGGGCAGATAATATTGCATAATATTTAAGGTCATGGACTTTGATCCTTGGTCTGTTTCTCACTGTATTATTTTTAATTCTCATCTGTAAAGCAAGAGTAATACAAACCTCATAAGTTGGTTTGATTGTTATATGCGATAATGTTGGTAAACTTTGCACAGTGCTCAGCATATAGTGAGTAATTAAACTCTTACCATTGTCATATTATAGATTTTTTTCTTCGTTTATATAGTAGTTTCAAGGCACAGTGAATAAAAAAATTGAAGAAATAGAAAAATGGTTGACAATTTTAAGTCTAGAAAGATGAACCAGTAAATGAAGATTACTTCTTTTACCCCTTTTGACACTCATTTTCTAAATTTTGTTCTCTTTTCAAATCCATGCATCATTATGATTATACTAGAAATAAAGAACACAATCTATGTAGCAAAAAATTTTGCATCTGAGATTATTACTATTGGGCTTTTCTTTTTCCATAAAGACTAAGCTGGATCTGCAGGACTGACTGTTAGTCAGCTTGTTGCCAGCCTGAGCTGTACAGCTATACCAGAAAAGAATTTGGACAAAGCACATTGAGAAGTTAAAGACCCTTTTGGCTGTTTATCCTCCATGGTATACCAGACTTGCAACTGACTCAGACTTAGATTTTGGGAGTTGGGAGGTAAACATTTGAGAGGAAATAGCCATCGGTTACAGAGTACATTCAAAAGAGAAGATTAAGAACTTTGTGAAACAGTGCAGAGAATTGTCTCAGAATGGTTGTACGTGGGAGGCCTTCCACATGAGAACAAGCTTGAACAAATAGCAAACATCATCAGCAAGCAACACTAAAGGCAATGGCATTGATGATATAAAGATAACGAGATCAGGTGTACAGTATGTTGAAAAAGATTTAAGTGTTTTTGGTGCCATGTAATGGGAGCCGTATGTTATTATCTTAGTATCAGAAAGGGAAGAGCTGTCGGAGTGGGTGGAGTCTCTACTCTGGGAATTGAAGAGGTCATTCTCTAAAAGAACCTGGATGTGTACCTTAGTGTTGCTGTGAGTATTGAGGGCGGGCTGGGGCCAAAGCCACTCAGAGCTGGGCTTTAATTCCAGCATGTGTAGCGTCATTTCCACAAACTGCTTGGGGAATATTGAGTGTCAATAAAATGTTTTACTTATCTACTTATTTTAGAATTACTGGTTGTGAATCACATTCTGAAGTGAATGACCTTTTATAAATCGCAAAGTAGCCCCTCGTTCTGTGAGTTGTGCAGTAAATTTTTGCATATCATGTTTTAATGCCTCAGTAGAATATACTTGACTTATGAGTAGAAGAAAAAGATAATTAAACTATGAAAGTTTTGTTTTTCTGTATTTTGTTTTTTTTCTAGTTCCAGAAAAATTTATATATGCTTCATATTTTAGAAATAATGTGCCTTGTATGTTTTTAAAAAACATTTTTTTACTTTTTCTTTCTCATTTTTAAATTTATTTCAGATCAATAAATGGACTGGGAAAAATTTTGGAAACACAAAGATCAAGGTATTGTAAAAGACTCTGTGATATTAACAATAAATTTAGTTAATAATAAATATTAAGGAATTGATAAATATACTTGAATCTAATATAAGAAAAAAGTGAGCATTTTAAAAATGATTTTTAGAGGGGGAGAGAGGAAGAGAATCATTGATCATTTGCCTCCTGTACACTCCTGACTGGGGATTGAACCCGCAATTTGGTTATGTGCCCTGACTGGGAATTGAACCCTGGACCCTTCGGTACATGGGATGGCAGCAACCAGCTGAGCAACACCAGCCAGGGCACATGTGCATTTTTAAAACTAGGGCCCAGAAATGTTTATTTGAAGGTTCTTTATAAGTTAATTTGGGCCCTAACCAGTTTGGCTTAGTGGATAGAGCATCGGCCTGTGGACTGAAGGGTCCCAGGTTCAATTCCAGTCAAGGGCCATATGCCTTGGTTGTTGGAACATCCTCAGAGGGGGAGGTGTACGAGGCTGCTGCTTGATGTTTCTAACTCTCTTTCCCCTCTCCCTTCCTCTCTGTAAAGAATCAATAAAATCTATGTATTTTTTTAAAAGTTTGTTTGGCATATCTATTTAATATACTTGCTTATACTTGTAATTAAGACTGTAGAGCCATGATAACACTGTGTAGCTTTGTTTTTGCTAATGAAGAGGAAATCGTAGTGTTCAGCCATTTATAAAAATAGTGTAGAAATCCGAAAAAAAGTATATTATTAAGAATCTTATTTTAATTTGACATATCTAAGTAGCTTTTTTTAAAAAAAAAATTGTTAATCCTCACCTGAAGATATTTTTTCCATTGATTTTTAGAGAGAGGGGAAGGGATGAAAGGGAAGGGAGGTAGAGAGAGAAAGGGAGAGAGGGAGATAACAATTTGAGAGAGACACATCAATTGGTTGCCTCCCACATGTATCCCCTGGGGTGGGAATCAAACCTGCAACCCACGTACCTGCCCTTGACTGGGAATCAAACCCAAGACCCCTTTGGTGGGCAGACTAGTGCTCTAACCACAGAGCAACACCAGCCAGGACACTTTGTAACATTTTAAAACCTTCCTAGTGTTTCATGGTTGCAAAAATAATCTGTCATGTAAAAATATATGGAACTTTTAAGTTCTGATACATCCTTTATTAAAACTTAATTTCTATTTTCTGTAGGTTCTTCTCTCTTTCCATTGTGTTTATACAGATGTGCATTACTTTATAAAAGTATGTGTTCTTAAAATATCTCTAAAATGAATTTCTATAGATTGAACTCTGTTTTCCATTGAATGCTTACAGGGGTATTTTGTTAAACTCATTTTTTTTTTTTTTTTAGCAAAAATGGCTCAGCAGCTGATAGACCCAGCAACATGCAGCCACAGCTCTGTGACTCACAGCTTGCAGTCTGTGCCACCCAGTTTTTAATTCAAAGATCTTTCCTTGAAAGTGCAGTAACGCCTAAGTTGAGTAGCTCATCTGCTGGGGCAGAGATTAGAGGTGCTGACAGACTACCATAAATGTTAGGCCGTAACAGCAGCAGCTGCTTATATGCATGTCAGCAGCTGGGGAATTAATTTTGTATGCATTCTCAGGAGCCACTGGTCTGCTGGCAGAGGTGGCAGAATAATGCCTTGATTGTAAGTTCCCTATAAGCATACACCAAATGTGCTCCCTGCATTTCAAATTCCAGTGTAGAATATGTCTGATAGCCTAGCTGATACCGTGAGCATTCTTCAGTATGTCTTCTTCCTATTGCATTTTACTTTCTTTTCTCCTTAATGTTTCTTCCTTTATAAAATGACAGACAACCACATAATGCTTAAGTAAGGTTTTAAAAATCATGTCCATATAAATAGCTGTAGTTCTGTTGTAATAGCATTTATTTGGTTCATATTTACAAACATCTTAAATCAGTTTTTTAAAGACCTGTGGGTTTATCTTGCTTAATTTTTTAAATGTTGGTTTTCATTTAGGATCTTTATTTTCCTGTATAAAGGTTTCATCTTGAATAGTTTATTATACAATGATTTTTATACTTATATGGCTTTTCTCCCATTGTTCTGCTATATTACAGAACAGCAAACATGCAGTGATTAAATTTTGTTATTTCAAGAAGATGATTGAACAAGGAATAAAGTCTCCCTTTTTTTCTGTTTCTTCAATGTCAGGTGTTTGCCAGTGTATCTGAGAATCTAGGGACCTTCTGAAGTAGTATTTCTTGTGTTTAGCATGATATTGTGTTAGGATCCTTTTCAGTGAAGATCAGAACTCCTTGGAAGAATTCTTATGAGTAGGTCATGAATCTTATATCAAACTAGAGGCCCTGTGCACAAGATTTGTGCACTTGGGGTCAGGGGATGGGTTCCTCAGCCCGGCCTTTGCCCTTTTGCAGTCTAGGAGCTCTCAGGGAATGTCCAACTGATGGCTTAGGCCCCCTTCGAAAGTCCAACTGATGGCTTAGGCCCAGCAGGCAGTCAGATAGCCATAGCACTCTCGGCTTCCGCCACCAGCCCTGCTTTTGGCTGAGCAGCACTCCCCCTGTGGAAGCTCACTGACCACCAGGGGGAAGCTCCTGCTTTGAGCGTCTGCCCCCTGGTGGTCTGTGCACGCCATAGTGAACAGTCCTTCAGCCGTTTTGTCAATTTGCATATTAGCCTTTTATTATATAGGATATTTCCCAAAATTCCTGAGGCATAGCAACTTGAGTTTCCCAGTTTAGAAACTAGAGATTTGGTTTTTAAAAACAGTTGAAATCATGCTGATGGAAGTATTATGTTACTGTGTGTATATTATTTTAATCCCTTAAGCATTTTGTGATAGACAAATGCTGATAGTAGTAAAACTGACCATAATAAAGCTGCTATAAGCATATATAAGAAAAGCTTACCTAAAGAGTATATAAGTTAAAGAATGAAAATGATGTGCAGCATTGTTTTGTTGGTATGTCTTAAGTTGATTTTGTGGCAAATGGGAATCTAATGGACTACACATGGAATTTAGAAACTGGATGGAAAGATTAGGAGTGCCATTCTTATCTTCTTTGGACTTTTTTATTTATTTTTTATTATTTTTTAAAAATATATATTTTATTGATTTTGTACAGAGAGGAAGAGAGAGGGATAGAGAATTAGAAACATCAATAAGAGAGAGTCATCAATCAGCTGCCTCTTGCACACCCCCTACAGGGGATATGCCCGCAACCAAGGTACATGCCCTTGACCAGAATCAAACCCCAAGCCGATGCTCTATCCATTGAGCCAAACCAGTTTTGGCTTCTTTGGACTTTTTTAAAATCTTGGAGATATAAATGGACTGAACAGAGGAAAACCTAAATCAAAGTTGTTAATAATAAGTTAATCTATTCAACAAACTACAGTATATATTGAGCACGCTACTAGTTGCTAGGCGTTTTGTGGGATGCTAAGGATTTACTAATAAGCAATAAGGCAAAAACTTGGTCTTAAAGGTGATCATTCATTTGAGGAAGAGCAAACAAACAAAAACTATGTCATATTATTGATGTAACAAGAATATTAGATGCACAGGTTCCTGTAAGAACAGGAAGATAAAGAATAATTACTCAACTCTTCTTGATAAAGAATCAGAAAATTTTGATTGAGAAAGTGATCATTGACCTGAGTCTTGAAAAATAAATAGGAGTTTTCCAGATGGACAAGAGTAGCAATAGCTTTCTAGGCCTAAGGAAGCTTTTGTATATTTGAGACAACAGTGAGTATTTCAAAATGACTAGAACATATGGTATTATGTTGCAGAGAGTAAAAGAGATATGACTGAAGAGATAAAGAACTTTACACAAAGGGTCTTGAATGCCATGATACATAGTTTGGATTTTTTCCTGTAGGCAGCAAGGAGCTAGTGAAAGAGTAAAAGCAGTGTGACTCTTGTGGAATGGATTGAATATTGCGCAGTTCTTCCAAGTTAGGAAATTTAGGAAGCAGGGAGCAATTTTGGGTAGGGTGATATTAGCAGTGGGTTTAGTAAAGGTGATTAATTTAGTTTTGTAGGCATTTGAGGGGCCACTAGGGAATGCATTTGGAAATTTAATTCTGGAGTTCAGGATATAGCTATTGGATGGTATTGATAAATCACAGATCTGGAATTGGCTGGTGGCCAATCACTAGTCTATAAATTTATGTGTTTAAAACAGCTAATGCTAATTTTGAAATGTTCATCTCTTCTGATTTGAATGCTAGCTTTCATAATAAGGCTTACTTAATTACAACTAATTAATTCTAATGTAATGATTAGGCAGATAGAGCATTAACTAGGAAGTTTCAGTTTATATGCAATACGATTCTGAAGGAAATGAAACCAAACTATATTATTTGCATATAGATGCGAGTCCTAAAATGAATATTTCTAATACAGTGGTTGTTTGACTCCTCACATTCTTACAGTATTACCTGTTATATATCATGGAAGGAGGGAGATGGAGTAAAAGAAATGTGAAAATTCCATTTGTTCCACTATCATTTCATATTTTAAGTAATAAACTGTTGCTTTGAAAAGTTTCAGTTAACTGAAATATATATGAATGAATTTTAGAATTAAAAAGGTAACTGAAAATAAATTTTAAAAAATTAACTCCCGGGGCTGGTGGGTAGGACTGGCTAGAATGGGTTAATGGGGAGAACATAATGCAATACTTTAAACAATAAAGATCTAAAAAATATTAAATAAATAAACAACAAACTAAAAAAAACTATAGCTTATTGAAGCAGTAACCACGTAACCTGGATCTTAGACCATTCAACCAATTTTTAAAATTTTATGTATTAAATGTATAAAAAGTTATTTTTACAAGCTTTTTATTTCTTGTCATTTTTCTTTTCCCAAAATACTATGATATACTGATAAACCTTTATGTCTTCATTTTTGACAAAACAGTCTGAGATTTTTTTTTTTTCTGGATTGAGGATATTTTATAGAATTTTACACTGTTACATTGGTTTTTCTTTCTTTTAGAGTTGATCTCTCTAACGTGTTAGATCTTCATGCCTTTGACAGTCTCTCTGGAATAAGGTATGTTTCCTATGTTTTGGTAATTTTTATTGTAATGTACCTGTTATTCCAAAATGTTAGGTATTATAGGAATGACTTTCAGAGTGCACACTTGATTTAAGCTTCCTGTCATTCTTTGACATAAAAGACTATTCCTAATGATTATGTTTTGAAAGTTTTATCAATTAGATATTTGGAAATCACGGTACATTTTCCTATAGAAGTTATAGTGTAAATGATAGTTAACTTTAAGACTAATTATTATTTTTACTCCAAATATATATAACACTTTCTATGACAAAATGCATAAAATACATAGAAAATTTTAGCTTAGGATATTACCTCAGATACTTTCTTTCCTCTCAGTGATGGATCAGTTTTCTGCCTCTTTCCCTAAAAGGAATTTTTTTAATAAGAAAGAAAAGAATGTAAATTTTTTTTTCTGTACATCAGTACCTTTTTTTAAAAAAAGTTATCTTAACCATTGTTAAGTGTGCAGTTCAATCAGGTATATTCACATTGTTGTGGATTGGATCTATAGAAATGCTTTATCTTGTAAAACTAAAACTACACCTATTCGGTGACAACTCTGCATTTTCCCCTTCCCATTACTCTTGGCAGCCATCATTCTATTATCTGTTTCTATGAATTTGACTACTTTGATATTCATATTAGTAGAATCAAGCAGTATTGTCTTGTCATGACTGGTTTATTTCACTTTTTCATTTAGTCCTCAAGGTTCATAATATTTAACAAAGAAGGATTTCCTCCTTTTTAAAAAAAAAAAATTCCCACTCAAGGTTATTATTTACTTTGAATTTTTTTTTTCTTTTTTTTTTCTTTTTTTTTTCTTTTTTTTTTAGAGAGAGAGTGGAGGTGAAGGAGGGGAGAGAGAGAGAGAAACATCAATGTGAGAGGAACACATCAATTGGTTGCCTTTAGCACACTGCTAAGGATCAAGCCTGCAACTGAGGTACGAGCACTTGACCAGAAATTGAATGCCCCTATCCTTTGGCCGATGGGCTAACACTAATCACTGAGAGAACTGGCCAGGGCAGGATTCCCTTCTTTTAAAAGGCTAAATAATATTTTCCTGTATGTGTATGGTGTTGCTATGAACATGAGTGTGCTAAAATCTCTTCAAGATACTGCTTTCATTTCTTTTGGATATGTACCCAAAAGTGAGATTACCGTATCCTATGGTATTTCTATTTTTAAGTTTTTGAAGAACCACCACACTGTTTTCCATAGCAGCTGCACCATTTACATTCCCACCAACAGTGCACAAAGGTTTTAGTTTCTCTACATCTTGTCGGTACTTACTTCCTGTTGTTTTTGGTAGTAGCTATCCTAATAGATATGAAGTGATAGCTCATTGTGGCTGTGGTTTGCATGTATATAATGATTAGAGATGTTGAGCACCTTTTCATATGTTTGTTGGCCATTTGTATATCAGCTTTGGATAAATATCTATTTAAGTACTTAGCCTATTTTAAATCCGGTTGTTAGATTTTGTTGTTGTGGCTGAGTTGCAGGAGTTTTTGTATATTTTAGGTGTTAACCCCTATCAGACATGATTTGCAGATGTTTCTTCCATTTCCTCTGAAGAAGATGAACCCTTCTATGAGTGGTTTCCTCCCTATACTGAGGAAAAGAGCATGCTTATCTGAGGACATGGACACATGGAGGAATCTGAAGGAGCAGGCCTTACTCACTTTTCCCCAACTTACTACACTTGGCTGACACTCTGTTCTGTCCTATCTTTACATGACTTTGCACTCTTTACCACACCTTACATAAAACCACTTAGGCTTAACCATTTATTTGGGTCTTTATTTCCTTATGAAGGCTCCCGTGTCTTGTAAAACCTAAGTAATTGTGTGCTTTCCTTCTGCTACTCTGTCTTTATCAGTTTAATTTTCAGACCCAGCCAGAGACCTGAAGAGGGTAGAAGAAAACCTTTTCCTTCCTTCCCTATGCAAGTTTTAGGCAGTCATTGTCAAAAAACATTAAATATTAAAGGTAGGGAATTAGCAGATGATTTACTTAAGAACAGTTATAATGCATTAGTGACACTTAAAAAAAAAGGAACTGTTTAATGTAATGCCTGCCCCGCCTCCTCCCCCCCTTGGGTAAGGCCTTTGCATATTCCTCATTGTGCTTCTTGCTGAATAGGGAAATCCATTCCTGAGCAGCCAGCTGGGAAGGTTTAAAATGACACTTTCCCTACTAAAACTTTCCTCTTCCACCCAGTGAGACTCATTCCCTCCAACAGCTCCTACAAGCCTTTTCTCTTTCCTAAACTTGGTATTACCAGTTTACCCCTCACTGTTCTTCAAGGCAAAACATCTGCAAGATTTTAAGTCCTTCCCACCTCTTAGCCTACCCTCATCAGTGTCTAACAGTTGTCATGGTTATAATTTCTTATGCTCTTCTCACTCTTTTCATATCAGAACAATGCATTTAGATTCTGGCTTTTTGTTTTTACCACTAACTGAATATATAGAAGGCTTATATTTATGAATATTGTTTATTTTTTACTAAGTACTCATGTTCAAAGGAAAATGTTTATAAAAGAAAATTTATTCTTCTAACTTTCTTTAGGTACCAGAATTTTCATATTAGGAAGCATGGGAAGAGTTGATGATGTTTTGAGCAGTAGTAAAACTGCTTATTTATATTTTTCTAGGCTTATTTAGATTTTTGTATCTGGGTTTCGGGCTAGTTAGATCTTTTGAAAATAAAAAGAAATCTACTGACATATTTAACCACACAAAATAGTGTTGCTAAAGATTAATTTTTCTTTATATTGTGTATATGTATGTGAATGTTTGTACATTTTTTAAAAAGTTTTAAAATAATCTGCCAGCTTTTCTGTATTAGAATCTGTGAGCAACATGTAAACTGTATAATAGATTAAACTGTGAATGTCTCTTCCTTATGTAGTTTTTTAACATTAAGAAATGTATAAGGTTAAATAAAAAAATATATTGATATCTGAACTTATAATCAATTGTTCTTAGTTTGCAGAAAAAACTTCAACATTTGCCAACAATACAACCTCACCTTGATCAGGTAAAAAAATCTTGAAAATATTTTTACGGTACCTTTTGAACTAAATAGGTTCTATTTAGGACTATTTTATTAGAACTCTTTCTAAAAATGTATTTTTTAATCATGTTGATAGTTTTCAGATTGTAAATCTTTTTGAGTGAGGTCAACTAATCTCGCTTCTTAAAACATAATAGGAATTCATTAAACTGGAATTGCCTAGAATGTTTAGAAAATCATGCTTTTTAACTTCTCCATTCTATAGGTCACACAGCATATTTTATCAGTTCTTCTGAGGGAATCACTTAAAAGCAGCATAGTGGTTCTATATGCAGCCTATTTTTAACTTAATTGAACTGATTAAGGAAACTTGATATAAGCATGTATGGCTTATTTAAATAAAAATTGGCTTTGAGTTGAGCACTATAAATTTAAACTTGTTAAGATTTTTTCATGCTCTAAAACTCTAATTCCTGAGGTAAATATTGAAAATGCTAGGAACAAACAAAATAAATATTCACTGTCCTCATCTTTCTTTTAAGCAAGTCGTAGATAGTAGAGCTTTAGGGTAACTTCTTTGTTCCATTTAAACACAGTGAAAGGAAGGGGGGATTGTGGGTGAGCATTGAACCTAGTCTTCCTTCTTCTGTCTTGAAGCTCTTACTCATTTTTGAGTCCTTACTAATTGTAATAGGACCAAGGCAACCATAGCCAATTGTTCTTTTGTTTCCATTTTGGCTCATATTTATGGGGAGATATGCTACCTGTTTGTAACACTTTTCTCAGAAACTTAATAGAATATTTATCTTATCTTTAAAATGAGTGAATTGGGAAAATATAAGAGTCAGGTAGAATGTGACTGTCAATTGCCTGGTACACATTTTTAATGACTTTCTGGGTAAAGGACATCATAGTAGGAGTCATAAGGTTTAAAAGATGTAGTATTCCCTTTCAAGAACCTTTATAATAGCCAGTGTCTTCACCCACAGTGGCTTGAATATATCCTTATCATGGCATTTCTCATGCTTTATAGTTTGGGTTGAAATGCTTTTCCATTGCAGTAGTCTCTAAATTCCTTAAATGTAAATTTCTCAATGCTAGAAATTTATGGTGGGTGCTTAATGAATATTAAAAGAATGCAAAGCTGTGATTCTCAAATGGGGGTGTACTTCAGAATCAGTTGTGGAGCTTTTAAAAATAACTTGGATGCTCAGTTTTTGCCACCCCTTATATCTCCAGGAACGGGCCTTAAGCATGTACATATTAATGTGTATGTATATATTTTTAACATATTATCTTGAAAAATGTCAAAGATATATAAAAGTAGAAAGAATAGTAAAATTAACCCTTTATATGTATGACCCAGTTGCAATGGCCATCAATATTTTGCTGATTTTATTTCATCTATCTTCCCAGTATTTCTTTTGCTGCAGTATTATTTAAACTTTTTTCTTTAAATAGAAAAGTTCAAGCATACATAAAACTAAGCAAGTATAGTAATGAACCTACATGTATCCATCACCCTTGCTGGAGTGTATTAAAGCAAATCCCAGACATTGTATCATTTTATCAATAACTAGGGTGTGACTGTTCTTTTTGTAAAGCTCTCCAGAAGACTCTTCTGCTTTAGATGTCTGAACATAGAACAGAATATAATATTGCAGACAAAGGGCTATGGAATCGAGAGCTCCAACTGTCTCATTTGGTTTAGTAGATTATAAAAGACTATGTTTCATATGTAAAGTAAATAAAGAATACAAATTTTTAGTATACAAGTATCTTCACGTATATTTTTACCTATATATCTGCCCATATGTGTACACGAACACATAACCCTACAATTCCCACTCAGATCAAGATATAGAAATTGTTCAGTTAGCAACTCTCCTCCCAAGGAGCTGCTTTTCTGACTTTACTCCAAAAAGTAACCCCAAAATGGTAGATTTATTTTTTACCAGAAAAGTAAGGGAAAGACCAATCCAGGTGTTTAAAAGTGGGAAAGTGAGAATGTTCTAGAAGAGCAGAACTCCAGTGCAGAAGTCTTCATGAATGCTTGGTATTGAGATCCTAGTATTGGCTTTGATTTGCTAGGCAAAGAAAACTCATGGCCTGGTCTATGTGGCTCAGTGGTTGAGTGTTGACCTATGAACCTAGGAGGTCACTGTTCAGTTTTCAGACAGGGCACATGCCAGGGTTGTGGGTTTGATCCCCAATAGGGGGTGTGCAAGAAGCAGCCGATCAATGATTGGCTCTCATCATTGATGTTTCTATCTCCCTCTCCTTCTCTGAAATCAATAAAAATATATTGAGAGAGAGAGAGAGAGAGGAGAGAGACAGAGAGAGAGACAGAGAGAGATACCTCATGCTGTGCTGTCAGACAGTATTAGGTCAGCCGGATTGAAGTGTGGAGTCAGGGACCAAGCAGGAAGATAACGCACAAGTTCTCATGCCCTTGATGAGGGCCTTTTTACACTGAGAATAGAAATGGGATAAATCGAGCACTATTTCACAGGTAGACTTGCCTGGATAACTTGACTAACTAGTGATGGAACAATAAGAAGAGAGAAGTAATGGCAAAAGCCTAGATTACCTAGAGGAACCTAGAAATAGAAAACTCTGGAAGCCAAACTGAATATTCCTCTTTACTTGGTGGCAGAATAGATATTATACAGACAAAGAGGATCAGAGGACTGAAGTGTGGGGATGCCGATTTTGGGTTTAAGCATGTTAGTAGATTTAGTTTTCTAGATGAATAAAACATAGAAGTGGTTGCATATTAGGTATTGTTTGCAAAAGAGTGGAAAACAGAGGGAAATAACCTGCTAGGTTAAAGAAAAAACTGAACTAGAAAAAGAAAAAATACTCCTCGAATTTAGGTTATACCTGGATTTTATTTTAGTATAGTACCTTATTTTGCTTTCTGAATTATTGATTCAGTTTTCTGATTCTTTCTGTGTTTGGGAAAGAAGAGTTATTTTTAGATTAAAAACAATAATAAACTAGGGGGAAAGTCTGAAATAGGTAATACCTAGGACATGTGTGTTATTAAAGTTTTATCCTTGAATGATGTTTAATGCAGTTCTCTATATTTTATGGATTTCTCATTTACTCCCTATAAGGAGAACTTGGGGTTGGAGGGTGGAAAGTAGATGAGAAAACCCAAGGGACAATCTATGCATACTTAATCAGTAGAGCCAATTATGAATTATGAGTTGTGACCCTCATCTTTTACCTTGGGAACTTATGAATTTCATCTTTAAAGTCTAATGTGATTAGAGTTTATTGATACAGAAAAACATCTTGTTTTAAAATGTTTATTTTCCTCCTTGAGTCCCACGATGCATTGTCTTAATTTTTAAAATCTTTTTCCTCTCATGCTGGAGTTAATTGTACCCCTTAGACAATTGTCATATCTCTAACCTGCAAAAGGCAAATATCATTCCCTGATATAAAAAAATTTAGGCTAAGAATAAAGCAATAGAATAGAGCAATATTGAGTGCTGCATTAAGACATTCCCAGTATTAAGTGCCAAGTTATCTAACTTGAATAAAATACATTTTTAGCATTTTTGAAGATTAAATTACTACCGTCTTAAAAATTGATAAATTATGTTTCACTTGGCACCCTTTTACTGTGTATTTTAACAAGATTTATATAGATTTTTAGTGATTGTTTTGAGGAGGAAAGAAGACTGTCATTTTGTTTAAATACATACTATTGTTGTCATAATTTATAAGAATAGTTTAAGATTTAAAAATAAACTTTTTAAAAAAAAATTGTGGTAAAAAACACGTAACATGATATACACTCTCTTAAGAAATGTTTAAGTGTAGAGTGTTCTGGGTAATTTGTTTTTTTCTGAGCCTCATTTCCCCCAGCTTATAAAATGGAAATAATTCTCTTTATTCCACAGGATTATCGTCACATGTAAATAAAAGCTAAAGTGACTGACCCAGCAAAAATACCTGGCTCAGTACTTATAGTTGATAAACTATATATGTGTATTATCTTTCCTCTTAGCACTGAGAATTCTGAAAAGGATGAATTAAATGATGTATACCTTTTAATGGCAGTTTCTCTGTGTAAATGCTAAACCATTGATCAACTATTCAGAATTTAGAAAATAGAGTTGCTGATACGAAAAATCAAATTATAGTGGGAAAGTTACACGTAATATGACTTTCTATGAATGTGTTCCTTACTTTTCATTCTTGAAAGTTAAGATTTTTTTTTCTAAATCACTTTTTACTATAAAAAATCATTAATTATCTTTTTTGATTTACAGAGTATTATTACAGTCACATTTGAAGTACCAGGAAATGCAAAGGAAGAAAGTCTAAATGAATTTATTCAGGTGAATCCAATAGTTAACTGATTAATGACTTATGAACTATATTGTTACATAGTCGTTGCTATTAGCAGTGATTGGTCTTACTGACATATGTTACTTGATACAGAATCTTCTGTGGGAAAAGAATGTGAGGAACAAGGATGATGACTGCATGGAGGTCATACGACTAAAGGTGCAGTATACAGTTTTGTACATTTGGACAGCGTCCCTTTCTTGGCTGTTACGTAAAAGCATATTTGGTTTTAAATGGAAGCACTGGTTTTATACAAATAACCTTCACCTTTTTTTAATTTTTTCTTATTTCCATTGCTGAAACGCTTTGAAAATTACTGCATAAAGCATAATTTATTTACACAGCTTCATTTACTGTTGCAGCTAAAACAACCTGTGTGCTTTGAAATGTTACCCTGTGCTCTCTACTCTCAGGCATTCTGAGCAGTTATCTTTCTCATTTCACATTAAGGTTGACTGATCATTCTCCTCTGAGCAGGGGCTGGTGTCGATCAAAGACAAACCACAGCAAGTGATTGTCCAAGGTGTTTATGAGCTGTATGATCTGGAGGAGACTCCAGTGATCTGGAGAGATGACACTGAGAGAACAAATCGACTGGTTCTTATTGGTAAGTTAAATTTCTGAAGCAAAGTGGAAAACATAATTGAAAAGATTATAATGTGCTACTTAAGCAGTATTAATCAATCAGAAGCCCTTTTGAAACCTAAATAAAATTTGGTTAATATATTTTTCTTAATCAGGTTATCACATTTGTAAGAACTTGCTAGACCTTTTACTCTTCTAAGAATTTTAGAAAAGTTATTAATCCAAGTATCAGTTGGATACTGAAGTATTTAACTAAAAAGTTAAGGGAAGAATCACTCAATTACTAATGTTTTTAATTTTCTGAAGATCATCAGATTTAATGGTTAGGAATTGATAGCTAAACTGTGCCATTTTAATAAGCATAGTATAATCACACCATATTTTGTTCTCTTTGCAGGCAGAAATTTAGATAAGGATATCCTTAAACAACTATTTATAGCTACTGTGACAGAAACAGAAAAACAGTGGACAACATATTTTAAAGAAGATCAAGTTTATCTGTAATATTGGAAGCATTTCTTAGCCAAAGGATTGGATGATAATATTAGGAATAAGTTTCCTGATGGGTATATTTCAAGCATCTGTTCTTTGCATTACTTCTGTTATGAATTCCAGTGTATGTTAAATCTATATTTATTTTATAGGATATATAAAATATGGTAAAGCAGTACTGTAAAACATTTGACATTTATACAATAAAGTATAATATCCTCTGAAGTGTTTTTTTAATAAACAGATGTTTCACAAAAATATCTTACAGAAATGGCTTGGGAGTTTACTTATGCCGAGCTCATCTATGGGAGTTATTTATAACTAGAGGCCCTGTGTACGAATTCATGCGTGGGTGGGGTCCTTGGTTTGGCTGGCTATCGGGGCGATCAGAACTGATTATTTTCGTCAGGTCTAAGCCTTATTGATAATCAGTGTAATGAAATTTAACCCGTTCACTTTGTGATATATTTAGAATATATATATATATTTTTAAATATATTTTATTGGTTTTTGTACAGAGTGGAAGGGAGAGAGATAGAGAGTTTTTGAAACATCAATGAGAGTCATTGATCAGTTGCCTCTTGCACACCCCCTACTGGGGATATGCCCGCAACCAAGGTACATGCCCTTGACCGGAATCGAACCCGGGCCTCTTCAGTCCCCAAGCCGACGCTCTATCCATTGAGCCAAACCGGTCCCGGCAATATATTTAGAATATATTGTAGAGGGTTTTTTTTTTTTATTATATGTTTGTTTGTTTTTAAATATATCTTATTGATTTTTTACAGAGAGGAAGGGAGAAGGATAGAGAGTTAGAAACATCAATGAGAGAGAAACATCGATCAGCTGCCTCCTGCACACTCCCCAATGGGGATGTGCCCGCAGCTAAGGTACATGCCCTTGACTGGAATCGAACCTGGGACCCTTCAGTCCGAAGGCCTACGCTCTATTCACTGAGCCAAACCGGTTTCGGCTATTGTAGAGTTTTTAATTTTAAGTAGATTTTACTCCTGGTATTGTTCATCTTGGATGTTTTTTTTTTAACTTCTTTAATTTTTAGTATACACATTTGTACTTCATTGGCATCTATAGACAAGCAGTGGGCCTTTTTTAATTAAATTCAAAATATCGTGGCAGTTAACTGGATACGCCAAAAAGTGACAAGGTACAAATCTTCAGCTATAACTGCAGAAGATTTAATTCAATAATAATTACTTTTTTCCTGTTCCTACTAAAAGCCAGGTCAGCATTGACAGCATTCAAGTTGTAGGAGAATAGCATTAGCTGGAATTTCAAGAAGTGCTTTCCCAAACTAATAATTGTTAAATATTAGAGAAGGCTATCAAGGTAGCATTTTGTATTTTTTTAGAATTTTAAATAAAAGAATTACATCTGTGTATAATTCCAATGTTTGGAGGCAGATCAGTTGATTAGATTATATATGTTCTGTCCCCTGCATTCTATATTTTTTATACATAACTTACCTATATTCATCCATTTACCCTCTGAATCCATTCTCTTAATTGGTGGTTGTGAAAATAACTATATTTTGTAGCAGCATGTTGCCCAATAGAAAGCCAGCTAATATTTGAGTGAGATCTGGGCTTTAATTTCAGCTCTGCTGCTGCTTGGCTGTGTAATCTTGGGCAAAGTATTTTCTTGGAGATTAGTTTCCATATTTATAAAGTGCACAGTGATAATATCAACCATTCAAGGTTGTTGTGAATATGAAAGAGGTTTGTAATGCACCTGGCACACAACAGAGCCCAGGCAAATGGATCTTCTTCTTAACAGCTTAAACTTATTTTACAATTTATGTAGTCATTGTAATACTTCATGATGTCCTTTGACAAATAATTCATCTAGATTCATATCTTTTATATCAGAAAGGTTTAGAATTAACTGTCCTGTTGCGGTAACTGAAGACGAAAGTCCAGGAATAAGCAATATTGTTGTTTTATGTCTATTCTTTTAGATGTCTTTTCTACTTATGTAGTTTCCCAAAGTTAATTACCTTATTTTCCTATGATTTAAGCTTTAATTTAAGCTACTTCTCCAGGAAACTTGCAAACTTGCCATAAATATCCTCAAGGAAAAGTTTTAAATAAAATATATAATGCAGTTTGCTTTAAAAAAAAAAACTCAACTATTAGTCTTAGATCTTTCCATGACAGTGTATAAATATGTCCTATTCTTTAACTGTTGTATAGATACGTATAGTATAGAATAGAATACATTCATTTTCAAAATGTTGGTTGAGAGCTTCCAGTTTGCTCAGGTATTAGTGCGAGGGCTGAATGATAAAGGCTAAGTTGCCATATGGCTTACAATCTGTTCTAGTGGAGGGAGACAGAAGAAAATATGAAGTAGCCTTAAGATGGTAGATTAAAGATCAACTTCAGATTGAGTCATGGAAAGGCCCTCTGAGAAGAGGTAGCTTTTAAATTGAGAATAGACTTACTGGTAAAAGGAGTTGTTCATGCAAAGTGAGGGAGAAGGAGGGAAGGACGGAGGGAGTTTGCAGAAGTCCTTGAGGTGGCAACCAGCACATGCTGGAAGACCAGGAAGAAGGCAAGAGTGGAAGGTTACAAAGCCAGGCTTGGAGATGGAACTGGAATCATGAGCTGGGGCCAGAGGTGTTGGACTGAGTGACACATTTGGATTATTCTGAAAGCTCAAGGAAGTGCAGTGATGTGGTTGTGATGGATGAGCTAGTTGTTTTCTGTTTTTTAAATTTTATCACTGTTTTTTAAATTTTATCACTGTGCATGTGTCTTTGTTCTTATGAGATACTGTTTCTCTAGAAGGGTGGAATCGTGAGCTTCCAGGATATGCACCCTTAAAATTTTAATAGATACGATATAAATTGTTCTTCCAATCGCTGTACCTCTTTACAGTAGTATAGGAAAGCACCCATTTCTCCAAACCTAGCTAACACAGTTTAACACTTGTCAACCTGCATGGAATGACATGTCACTTTTAATTTAGATTTTATTCTGTATTTTTATGTTGTTTATATATTACTTTAAAGATCCTGTCCCTTATTCTTATTTTCCCCAAAATGAAGTATTTTTCAGAGATCAGAGCAATAGTATAACCAGCACCTTCAGAGGACTTTGGAACTTGTCATGAATATTCTCTAGAGAAGATTTTATTTTTACAATACAAATTGCTAACTAAAGTAAATAGTGTGGGCTATTATTCTATTTACTATAGAAGATTTTCAGAGTATTGATGATGATAATTAAGGTTTAGGGATAGTTCATCTAAAACTATAGCTTAATGAGTGATATAGGATAATGACAAAATCTGAGCCTTTGCCTCCTTATTCATAAAATGGATATAACGATGCAGATCTCTTTGCACTTGATCTTAGCCAAAAGGCTGAGAAGCGATGATGCAGATCTCTCTGGATTGTTCCAGGGATTAAATTGAAAGCACGCTGGATACCAAATCTCAATAAAAGTGAATTCCCCATTTCTAGCAAAACCCTATTAAAAAAAAAAAAGCTTTTGTGCACTTTCTTCAAACAAATAGTTCTTTCCTGGGCTTTCCCCAGCTTTCAGTGAAAGGAGCAAGAACATTGGTACTGAGATTAAGGTAGCTGTAGGAAGGTTCAGCACAGGGCATGAGGGAAGACCTGCTGATTGAAAGGGTCTATAATTCCTAGATTCCAAAGTCTGAAGGGAATTATCAACAAAATAAAGTTAACAACCTTTTAAACATTTATGGGCTTGGTTGCTTGTACAAAGTGAATAAATGTTTCCTTTGGATTACTAGACTAGGTAGGAAGACTATATTTAGATTGCTTTGAAATGACTTCCATAGTTCTAGAAATGCTATACATTGTAGTAGTAGTGTTGAAAGAATGGAATTCTACCTTTGTCTAGCAACTTGATCTACTTTGATGAGAAAATACACTAGATTTTTTTTTTCTCACAGTCTTAATATTGGAATCAACTTTACCTTTTAACTTAATATTGGAATCAACTTTACCTTTTAAATAATGACCAAATTGCCTTTAATTTTCAGAGTGAAATGGAGAAAAATCAGACATCATCATCATCATCATCCTTCCTGTAAATTAGTTTGGGAAAGGTTGTTTTGCAAAACAAGTGTCTTGTGAGTCTGATAGTTTCTTTCAGGGAAAAATATCTATTAATCACCAAAAATTTTGCACGAGACGCCATGTTGCAGGAGTGACAATGTAAAGCTTTTAATTTTTAAGGCAACACTGAAGAATTGAATGGACAGGAATAGTGCCTTTTTAAAAAAAATTTATTCTTTTAGAGTGGCATGCCATATGGAATCTTTTGTTTTGTTTTGTTTTTTTAAATATGTTTTATTGGGGTTTTTTACAGAGAGGAAGGAAGAGGGGTAGAGAGCTAGAAACTGCCTCCTGTACACCCCCTACCAGGGATGTGCCAGCAACCAATGTACATGCCCTTGACCGGAATCGAACCTGGGACCTTCCAGTCCGCAGGCCGACGTTCTATCCACTGAGCCAAACCGGTTTCGGCATGGAATCTTTGTAAAGCATTCAATTTAGTTTTTATTGATACAGCTCTTTGTTTTTATATTGACATATTTTGTATAACAACTCCAGATATAATTCACATACTATAATTAATATACCTCACTCCTAAAAGAAACCATGTATACCTTTGCAGTTATTCCCCATTTTTCCTTGCTCTTAGCTACCAGCTAAGATGTTCTTTCTGGACTCCTTTCATTTACTATAATTTTTCATGATTCACTATGTTGTAGCATGCATCAGCATTTTGTTCCTTTTAATTGCTAAATAACAATCTATTTATAATCACGTTTTGTTTATCCACTCCTCAGTTGATGGACATTTAAGTTTTTATTTTTCTGAAATTATGTCCTTTTCTCTTATGTTTAATTTTTTAATTAATAGAATATTTTTCATAACAGTTTTAGATTTTCAGAAAAATTGAGCAGATAGTAAAAGAGAGCTCCCATATATCACCCTCCAACATACACACACACTTAACATCTTACATTGGTATGGTACATTTATTACATTAGTGAACCAATATTGATACAGTATTAACTAAAGCCCACTGTTTTTCAGATATCCTTATATTTTACCTAATGTTCTTTTTCTTTTTTTTTTTTCTTTCAGGATCCTATCTAGGATTCCCTGTTTCATTTAATAGCCATGTCTTATAGACTTTTCTGGGCTATGACAGTTTCTTAGACTTTACTTGCTGACATCCACAGTTGTGAGAGATACTGTCATGAACACAGGACACTCCTCCTTTGGAATCTGTGTGTTTTTCTCATTGGGGCCTAAGGGAGGAAGATCACAGAGACCCATTTCATCACATATCAAGGGGATATACTATCAACACGGTTCATGTGCATTTTTGTTGATATTGACCACCTGACCATCTGGCTGAAGTAGTGTTTGTGAGGTTTCCGCACTGGACAGTTAAGTGACTCTTTCCACCCCTGTCCATACTGTACATCCTGGAGGGAAGTCACTATGTGCTTTGTACAATGAAAGTGTGGGGCATTACGCATCCTCAAGGGCTGAGAACCTAAGTTATTTGGAATTCTGCCTCTTCCTCCATTTTATTAACTCAATCTTCTATCAGTATGAATACATAGATATCTATTCTATACTTTAGGTCATAATCCAATACGACTTCATTTTGTTGTTCAAATCGTCCCAGCATTGACCATTACATATCCACCCCCACCCTCAACCCTCCCCATCAATGTGGGGTTTATTTTCCTCCTTTCTCCTTTCATTTTTAAATGACTCTAATCCCAATAGAAGTTGACTCTAGGAAAACTAACAATACTCCCTTTCTCAGGTAATCCTGATTCTATGCTGATGGCAGAACTAAACTTTACCTGCAGGGGGTAGAGGGGAAGGCCTCTGAGAACCTAAGGTTGAATAAGACACCTGTCCTGCCCTCCAGAGTTAATTTAGTGGATCACACAAGTGGTAATTGGTAAATTTGGGATTCAAACACAAATCTATTTAGCTTAAAACCTGTTTATTTGTCCTACTTCAAACTATATATAACTGGTAAAGCTTACAGGATAAATATCTCAGGATTAAGAAATCTGATTTCAAAATTTTATCCTGAAGGCACCAGCTATTTTTTAATTGTATCTTGACCTTTCAGCTGGCTTCTGACTTGTGACCTAAAAGTCATTATTTTACAAACATTAACAGAAGATTTACTATGTGACTATCAATTGCCTGATACAATATTCTTTTATGCTGCATTTTAATTAGATGCCACCCCAAATTCTGTTTATAAGTAGGTGAGTTTTAAATTATGAAAATATACTGTGACATGTATACATATACCATTATTATGAATATATACCATAAAATTCCTATTTATGTAACACATTACGTTATATTCTACTGGACTGCTACTTTACTCTCTGAGTTGATATAAATGTGGCCATCAAAAAATCTTGTTACCTCCAAAGATGCTGAGTGAGTTAACGAAGCTTCTTTCTCATATTGATCCTCTCCTATGTGAGTAATGAGTGACAACTTTGTCACTGAAACTGCAGCCTCTCCTTGCCTCACTTCTTAAGTTGTGTTATTATAATAAAAGTGCTTAATGTGGGGTGCTTTCCTTCCCGCCCCCCAGAGGGAAAGGAAGAAAGGAGCCCTTCATATCTTGGGTGCATCCCTTGGAGTTGTGGGGCCATGTTGTGAAAACTGGGTATTTCAAAATAGGTCTGTACTGGTTAGTATGTAGTAAAATCAATTTAGTTGGTTGTGGCCATTAAAGAAGAAAAATATCACTCATCACTCTAGTGTGAGTATATTGCTCTATGAAACCATTGTAGTTATGCAAGTTTGTATATGCATGATTGTGGGCAAAATGCATTTTCTACTGTGGTTAAATGTTCAAGGAAGTCAGCGAATCCCTGCTGAAGGGGACTTCTCTCTAACCTGCCTGCTTTCTCTCCACCCTGAACTTCCACTATTTAATATGAGGACAATTAACCTTTTCTGAAAACTTGAGTCTGGAAGGACATTTTGTGGAACTGGGGGTTGGTGAGAGTAAGAAGATGCAACAGCTCTTCACAACCCACTGAGCCCAAGGATATAGTTAGAATATTTAAAATATTTCAGTTCATCATTCTTAATGACAGAATCCAGTGTTGAAAATAGGTGATGAACAAGCCATGCAGCATGAAAACAATTTGTTTCACATCTCAATGCCCCTTCTTTCCTCCAGGAGTACGAGAGGCCTGGATATTCGTGGTAGATTGTTGGGTGTCATATTTTCCTACCCCCCTTTTTATCTGCGCAGTTCTATTTTATAGTCACATAAAATCCTCATCCGAGGATGTTTTTGTTTTTGTTTTTGTTTTCTTAGAGGGAAAAGAGAGGAAGGAAGAAAGAGAAACATTGATGTGAGAAACTTTGATGAGAGAGAAACACTGATCCTGAACAACCTAGGTTATGTGCCCTGACCTAGAATGGAACCCGCAACCTTTTGGTGTACAGGCGGGACTATTCCAACAAACCGAGCCACCCGACCAGGGCTATTGGCGCAGTTTTAAAAGTGCATTATGGGGGTGAGGTGCAGAAAAAAGGCGCATTAACTGCCTATGCAACTCAGGGCACGACAGGCAGGCTAACCTGAGGAGTGCAACCTTCTCCACGGTGGTGGGTGGGTGTAGGGAGGAGGAGGCTGGAGGCTCTTCCCAGTCAGCTAATGCGCAGAGGACCCTCATCATTGGACTGCGCGGCCAGGAAGTGGGAGCGCTTTGAGGTAGGACAAAAAGTGGTTAGAAAGGGCAGGAGACTTCACAGCATAGGGACTCGAGGAAGCTTTCATAAAAGGCAAAGTGCACCTTTGCTGGACTCGCATATTGCATTGTATAGGAGGAGAAACCAGACGTTAAGAACAGCTGAAGCGTCCTTACTTCTCAGAACACCCGAACCCTGGCACCCAGCCCAGCCCACTGCCAGGCAGGTGGGAGGCCGCCGTCCCCGGGGCTGCGGGACCTGCTGCTCCATGAACCCGCTGGGAGCTGAGCGCCTTCGCCCCACGCCGCCGCCGCGCAGCCTCCGGGGCCCCGAAGGCGAAGACGGCGAAATCGATATTCTGGGGGAGGAAGAAGATGAAGACGACGAGGAGGAGGAAGAAGAGGACCACGTGGAGATCCAAGTGAGCCCGCCGTTCCTGGAGCTGCTGCACCAGCCGGAGTCGCAGGGCGCGGGCGCGAAGCCGGGGGAGCGCACCGAGAGCAGCGGTGGCCCAAGCGACTCCCCGGAGTTTGGCACCAAGTTCGGGGCCTCGGCCGGGCCCGTGGCGGCCTCCGGGGACGCCCCGCAGCCCGCGAAGCCCCCCTACTCCTACATCGCGCTCATCACCATGGCCATCCTGCAGAGCCCGCACCGGCGCCTCACGCTGAGTGGCATCTGCGCCTTCATCCGCGGCCGCTTCCCCTACTACCGCCGCAGGTTCCCCGCCTGGCAGAACAGCATCCGCCACAACCTCTCGCTCAACGACTGCTTCGTCAAGATCCCCCGCGAGCCCGGCCGCCCGGGCAAGGGCAACTACTGGAGCCTGGACCCCGCCTCCCAGGACATGTTTGACAACGGCAGCTTCCTCCGGCGCAGGAAGCGCTTCAAGCGCCGTCACCACCAGCCCCCGGGCGCCCACCTGCCTCACCCCTTCCCGCTCCCCGTAGTGCCCGCCACCCTGCACGGCCCCTATCCGGGCTTGCTGCCTGGGTCCCTGGCCGTTCCCGGGGCCTCCCCTGCCGCCGCCGCCCCCCGGAGCCGCCCCTGCGCTCTGCTGCACCCCCATCCCCTTCGCTACCTGCTGCTGTCCTCCCCCATCTACTCCGAGGCGCCCGGGAAAGTTCAAGGCGGGGACCTGGGGACCCCCGGCGCCGCCCTCCCAGCACTGCAGCCGCCCTCCCTGGGCTTCCAGCCTTGGGAAGGGGGCAAGGGGCTCGCAATGAGACAGGCAGGCGGAGGTACCTCCTTCAGCGTCGAAAGCATAATGCAAGGGGGCCGAGGAGGCGGGACAGCGACGGCGCAGAATCTGCCCCGGACCCCCCCGTGGGGTTACTGGCACCTGCTCCCGCGCTCGTCGAGCCTGTGGCACACCCAGGCTGCTGCCCCCTGGCTCCATGCGTCCGCCGTCCAGGGCGGTGCCAGCAAAGGCGGGCTGCTGGGCCGGCACCTGTCTGCCGCTGCGGCGGCGCTGCTGGGGCGTCCGCCGGGAGCGGAAGGCTCCAGGCAAGTGTCCTGCGGAGAGGGGACCTCGCCCGCGTTTTGAGTAGCACCTGCCTCCTGCCCTGGCGCCAACTCCAAGGGGGCGAACCTGGAGCCAAACTAGAAGGCAGAGAGACCCATGTGTCGCTTCTCCCCGCTGCCTATCCTAGCGCACTCCACCTTGCACCACCAGACGAGGAGTATGCGTTAATATCCCAAAGCAAAGCAACCAACCACCAAAGTCCCTTCCCACCAACTTTCGTTTGTTCGCTGCGAAATATTTACAAAGGAGAAGCTGTTCCTTAGACAACCTGAGTGCAAACTTCCTGTGGCATCAATTTTCACCTCTTCTTTCCCAGCCTCCTCTCGTGGCTTCCAGGACTTTTCTGGTTTGCCCATTTCAGAGGAACTATGAACGTGAGTTGGGTATTTTGCTGTGATATGAAAAGAAAAAACAAAGATACAATGTCCAAGGCCCATGTTTTCTCCTTCTTCCCCCCCTAGGAACTGCAAGTATTATTCCCAAGTCCAGTACAATGTGCTCATGTCCTCTATGTCTTTCTGAAACCCGTGTGTAATATAAGTAGGATTTTAATTTCAGGGCATTTATTTCTGATCTGTGTGTGAAATGTGCAATATTCCATGGAGAGGTGTTAAAATTAAGCCTAGCTGTGTAGACTAAATAAAGTGCTAAAATATTACACATCATCTATGGAACTTTTGTCGGACTTCTTTTAAAACTAGTTCTTTTCTCCCAATAAACAATTTAGTTTTGCAATTCTTATTCATTATACACATCAGAAACAACCCATTTAAAAAATGACTTTTAAAACTTCAGAATATTTGAAGTTGAAAAAGTTCTGCCTTTTGAAAAATGGGATTTAATATGTATAAAACCTATAGAACAAAAGAATTGGAGAAAAATCTAAATATAGTCTATATTTTTTAAATCTGCCTAAAAATGTTGATTTTCCTCCAGAATAAGTTGGAGGACTATTTGAAGTCCATATGGAAGGTAGTGGCCAACATTTATTTTGTGAGGTGAGAAAGTTCTGGGAGGGACGGGGTTTAAAAAAAAAAAGCATTAGAATTTTAAAAATGAGGGCCCAAAGAAAAGGTATATAATGTATCAAATAAGCATTCATGTTGTGGACATTTACAATTTTAAAAAATCCTCTCTCTAGGCAAGTGCCTTCTAAGGGTTCCTATTCTCTTTCTTTAAAACAGAGAGTAACTTCTTTTTGTTTCGAAAACAGATAATTCCTGAAAGGATGTTGCAACCAGAAAGCTTGGGTTTCAGATGACTGGATGGTAGGGAAAGAAGACCCAATGCCCATCATGTAATACTCCTGCCCGAGAGACCAAATTTCTAGAGACCCTGCAGCTCTCCATTCGCTAGGCAGACTCTCTTTCTTTTTTCCCCTCACAAGAATTGCTTTCCAGGCAACTTTGGAAAAAGTCACTCTGTGCATGTGAAGAAGGTATTTGGTCCTTAGCTACTCCACAGGCGCATCTATGAATTTCTCATTACAGGGGGAGGGGCTCCAAAGAGACATGTTTTCACAGCCTTTAAATTGGTGATTTTTACCCCAGCTTCTCATTTCCACTGCATTCCTCAGAACTTCTTTGGCATGTTCTGCCAGCAATGCCTACCTTCTTGGGGCTTGGTAGCTCCGTTTCAGTGATGTTCTGGAAAGTTCCTAAGCCAAACCCTGTTAGCCCCGGGACACAGAACTTCAGATTGTACTCTGTGGCTCTGTACCTGCAGCCTTTGCTGGTACCAAGCACCACCCATGTCCTGTGCCCTATGACATAGGCCCCTATCCTTAGGCTGCAGGCAGTCCCTCTCCTAACCCCTCCTCTTTCATCCACTTCTCCCTCCTTGGGTTTATAAAAATGGGAATGTAGAGACTTTATATCACATCTATGAACCCAACTATATCCTGTGGGATATAGATAGCTAATTACAACCAACAAAATTCAAAGAATGAAAATAGTCCTTTGCATAAAACAGAATCATAATATAAAGACTTTTGGAAACAATATCATCTCAAATTTATGTATTAAAGTAGTTAGTCTAATTGCTTTTTATACTTGTTATTGTTGATAGATAGCATTACAGATATCTCCCATTTCCCTCTCCCTTTACCCCCTCCTTCCTGCTCCTATCCCCCCATGTCTTCATACCCTATTGCCTGCCACCATGGAGGCTTTGAACTCTGTCTGTCTGACTCTCAGCACTTCAGTTTTAAGATTGTTTCAGCAAATTCTGCAGGCTGGGCCAACCAAGAGTAAACCCATTCTCCTGTCAGTCCTCGGGTGGTTCACTTTCCAACTCTCCCTTGTCTTTGACAGAAACATCTCCAGGCCTGCACTCATTCATGTATTCTAATAAGTCACCAAATGTCCTCGGAGCGCCAGGCAGAGCCTCTTCCAGCGCTCCCCACTCCGAGGAGCCCTCTTCCCCGCTTTGCTCCCAGCCAGGCAGCACAGCCACCAACACAGGTGACTGCGGATAGGAACTGGGCCCAACCCGGCCCCCAAGGTCTTAATTTTTACCAAGCAAAACTATATTGAACGACGGATTTTCAGGAAAACCGTCGGCTCAGTGGAAGAGCAAGTTAAACGCAGTTCTCCACCGAAACATGGCGTTTCGGATCCACCTGCCAGAAGCACGGGGACCAGTGGAGAGGTCAGCCTGAAGGGGAGCCGGCGGGAGCCCCTGCAAACGGGGAACTTGCCAAGCCCCCAGTGCTGTCAGGGCTGGCGGTCCCAGAGTGGTGGTGGCACCGGCGCAGCAGCCACCAGGCAGGGAAAGTCGGGGGCGGAATGGGGACCGGGTGCAGGTGCTGGGCGGCACCAAACAGAGGCAGATGCTCTGGGTCCAGGTCGTTCTGCGCAGGAGCGTCCAGGCACTTCTGAGTGCTGGGCCTGTGTGCACCCTGGTGCTGGCCTCTGGCCGCGGTCTTGGGCAAGAGCTTGGTGTACATTTAAAATGCTGGCGATCCACTGGCTGGTTTGGCTCAGTGGATAGAATGTCGGCCTGGGGGTTTCAGGCTCATCCCCACTGGGGGACGCGCAGGAGGCAGCCAATCAATGATTCTCTCATCATTGATGTTTCTATCTCTCCCTTTCCCTTCCTCTCTGAAATCAATAAAAATATATTTTTAAAAAAATGCTGGCGAGCAGGTTACGCCTCTCCCGAAATGCGCAATGGGATCAGTCATCAGGGGTGACCCTTGATGTGTCCAAACTGCCAAAGGCAGAAGGTGCAGAGGGGTGGGGCGAGAGCCAGAGGGAAATCTGAAGGGGAGATTTTCTCTGGTCCTGCCCCCTGTGAAGAGTAACAATGGCGGCCAACCTTCCCCAATTCTCTCTCTGCCAGACACTGGATCCCACGTGTAACGCTCCCAGCACCCAAATGACACTATGGAATCCCCTTTGCACAGTTAAGAAATGTGTGACTTAGAGAAATTAAACGACTCTCCCGAGGCCCCTTCTTAGACAGCGGTCCCGGGACTGTCTGGTGCTTTAACCACAAGCCCACCGCTGCCCGCGACCTGCTCCCCTCCCCCCCCCCCCCGACGGGGGGCCTCTGGGTCGCAGCGGCACCAGCACCGAAGGACACACCGCCCGCCGGTTCGAAGCCTTTGACCCTGGGCCCTGCTGCCTGCTTCCTAGGGAAGGTCCCTGGGAGGACAAGGCGTGGCCCCACCGGCAGAGGTGGAACTCGGGGACTCCACCTAAGGCCACATCGCAGGGAGGAGTCAGTCCCAGGAGTGTGTTCTTCCTCCCCAGCAGGACTGTGGTTCCTTTTCCCCAAGGGGTCCCAGAGAATTCGAGCACCCCGCAAGCAGGCTTAGGAGGAACATCGAACCGGTCGCCTCCTCCCGGCCGCCCTCCCTGGCAGTGGTGGCCGGCAGCCTCATGCCGCGCTGCCCCCAGTTCCTCTCGGGAGTCCTGGCCCTGCGCTCCACGTCCCGCCGCGCGGGGCCCCGGATCCCGAGGACATGATGGTTGTGATGGGCCCTAATGATGGGCAGCGGCCTGGGAGATGGGTGAGGGCAGAGGATGCCGAGCCTCCCAGAGGAGCTGCAGCCTGCAGGTCACCCTCAGGTCAGAAGGTGCGGTGGGAGTGGAGGGGCGTAGGAGAATGGGAGTGAAGGTAGCAGCCCCTAGGGAGAAGGAGAGAGCATCTGGGGGCCGGGCGGACTGGAGCCTCAGTGGCTGTAGGCGCCAGTATGCCCCTCGCAGGTGCAATCTGACCTTCTAAGCGCCCAGATGCTGCGCAAAACCTTTAGCACTTGCTTATTCTTGGGAGAGTAGCTAAGGATTCAGGAGGGTCCTGGGTTCCATTAGGTCAAGGGCACATGCCTGGGTTGTGAGCTCCATCTCCAGTAGGGGGCCTGCAGGAGGCAGCCGATCAATGATTCTCATCATTATTTTTTTTTCCTCTCTCCCCCTCTCCCTTCCTCTCTGAAATAAATTATATATATATATATATATATATATATATATATATATATATATATATATATATATATATATATATATATATATATATATATTTTTTTTTTTTTTTAAAGAAGCTGCAGACAGGGATAAAGGGAGGATTTCCACCCCACCCCACTCCCCATGGAAAAGGCTTAAACAAGTTTCTCTGCTGAATAAATGAAGGGCTCCCAGCGGTGGAGAGGTCAAAGATTCTGGACTGAACACATATAATTGCTGGTGCAAAATCCCAGGGGGCTGGGGCACAGGTAGATGGATCAGTATGGGCCATACTAGGAGTGGGAGGGGGGACAGGTGTGTGCAGATGCGGAAGGGTTTGAGAGTGGAGGGGGCAGCTCATTGAGCCTGATGAAGGGTGACAATGCTCCGTGCATGTTGGAGGTGTTCAGGAAGCAAATCCAGAGCAGATGTTGGAGTGAGCAGCTGAGACAACAGCTTGTGAAACCAGCCCTACTTTGCGGGTAGAGGATTCGTTAAGGATCCTGGCCATGGGAACCAAGAAGGGGAGGGAGTCTGTTCATGCTTAGTACAGAGCTTGCGGGGAGAAGTTTC